AGATCGATTCTATAAAACTTTGAATTTATTTTGGCCTAAGTAAAGTTGCAGCGAATCTTCTCAATTGTATACGAAAGAAGGTATTTAATATATGTTGTAATAAATAATAGTTTGGCACGAAGCACAGTAACAAACAGATGCAGCATTAAATAATAAGTGTCTGTAGGTAAATCTTTTTAAACCCTTTCTGTATAGAGCATGTTGTCTTCTATTTACTTTGGTGTTCAATTTCTTTCAAACGCCCAAATCCGCAGGGACTACTGAAAAGCAGTATCATTGCAATGCTCTACATCATCAGGGTCTTAACGTTGTCATCTGTTCTTTCCTTCCTCAATTTATGTCTTTGTTACTTTACTAATTCTGTAGGAATGTTTATTATTGTTATTTAAAGTCTTTTCTATGGATATTTTAATTCGTGTTTTCGAAGGAAAACAACCTAAGGAAATCAGCTGTCATGTGATCATTTGGAAAGATTGTGAATCGAATACGAAGAATAAAGGAGAAAGAAATGGTTTTCCAGTGTAACCGAATCCTTAGGTCGTCAGTAAAAAGATTGAGCACTATCTATCCGGGTCAACGATCTACGGCACCGACTATAAATCACAGCAGGTAATTTCCGAACATTACATTCTAACGACTGCTATTGTGTCGGTCTGTACGCCGGTGGAAATTAGCCCTTTTCACTTGAGTGTTTCCAGGCATAGTTTCCAGTGATAAAAGAGGTCTCTTGGAACTCCTTAATGGATGGTTCCGTGTGCTTTTTAATGAAAACGTGGGCAAACTAGCGTATGAGTATAAAACATCTACTCCAGATGCACGGTCAACCTATTTTGGCTGAAGGCATTCAGAAATCTACAATCTGAAGCCGAAACGCGATTACATTATACTAAATTTCCATATTTCGTCGACACATTTAAATTCCAAGTTGAAAAACAAAGTTTTATATTTTTGTAATATCATAAATTGGTTTAAGAAAATTGTTGCACGGGAATCAAAAACCACGACCCGTTGATAATAGCCGACAGTATATTGGACCGTCCAGCTGTCTTCTTCACCTTTGCTTATGAGTCACCGTAAATTTTACATAAATAACACAACATTGCTAAACAAAAGTGAGTTCAGAATCGTGTATCTTGAAGAATGAAATTGCTGCAGGGGTACATTTTTGCATCAATGTTCAGGGTTGGTAGACATTTATAAGTAAATCATTGTGAATTAGAATTTATATTTTACTCCTTTAATTAACTTCTTTATAGTCTCCTTAAGGCTAACTCCGTAAAAGACAATAGAGCGTCGCGACTCCGTAGACAACAAGCAATAAAAGCTAAATCTAAAGCAGCTCTCAAATTCCACATTCTAAGCTGTCGGACTGAAAACAAGAATGATAGCAACAAAGCCATTCTGGATTGCCATGAACCGCAGCGTCGTAAAATACGGGCGATAAAATTATGAATGGAAGCGAATTTGATATGAAAACTTTATGGCATCCATCACGACGAAGCCATGAGGGATATCCTTTCATTGTTAACGTTAAGCTTTTCATGTATTTCTTGATGAGACAGACCGACAACGGGGACCGAGAGGAAATGTTTCATATGTAGCAGCGGTCAGGATCAAAGTATATTTGGAGCTACATTGTGCTTGATAGTACAACGTACAAATCTGTTTGAATTGCAATATATTTGTTTAAGTAGTCATTTTCGACGGGCTCATTGGTCCAATGGTATCAGTGTAGGGCTAACAATCAACGGGTCGCAGGTTCGATCAGCACCGGGTCATGTTTCTTATCAATTTCTAATTTTTCTGGAACATGTTTGAATTTGTCGGGAAATCTTGGAAAAAAATTCAGATTCTGGATTACAAAAAAAAAACAATAAGTATTTTATAATTCCAAATAGTATAAGCTATTTTTTATATATAATATTTAATTAAAATACATAAAGTTCGTTTTTAGTTTTAGTAGGATATAAGATTTTTATTGATGTCATCAATATCGTCTTAAAATGATAAACGTCACAATCTCTCTCTTATCAACATTCAAATATTTTGCATGAGATAAATAACCTTTGGTATAAGTTACAAACAGAAGCGGTTTTTAGTTAATCTACCGAAGGAAATTAATTAATTCTTAAAGTAAAAGAGACTTCGCATGTAATAAAGGTATTTTATAAATGATTAATAAAATTAAAAAAAAAAATTTTTATATGACATGAAACTTTTTACTATTTCCTTAATTTAACTGATACGTTTTCTAAGGAGAGTGATCACACAAATGTTCATAGACTAACTGTTGTATTATGTTTCCATTTTTGAAAGAAGTATAGAAGATGAAGTATGGCAACACAACAAACAAGAAGTTAAGTCATCTGATAAAAACTATATAATATGTTTTAGGTCATACAGTTCCTCGTTATCTTCGTGTCATATCGCGCGTAAGATGCCTCGTTTTAACCTACTTGTTTGAATATTTTCGTAGTACTTTGAAGTATTTTTTAAGATTCAGGCTTCTTATTGTGAAAATGAAACCGCCTTGTGTTTTGTTTGGATGTTCTAAAATCGTGAGTAAAAAGATATTTATTTTATAATCTTAAGACTTACTTCTTATATTAGTTATGAATACATATTAAATTAATTGAACTCAGTCCGGGGTTCGAATCATAGCTCGGGAAATATTTTATGTAGCTATATTTATTTTTTTACCTATCCCTACCTTGGAGTTTGGAACTAACCCATTTATCATTGAATCCTGGCGGGTCAAAGTTCTTTAAACTCTAATTGAGAGACCTGCCATCAGTGCATTAGTTGGAGACGAACAAGTATTTTTTGTTTATTTCATTAATAGATCAAAGTTCATTTGAAAATATAGTAAACAGTGTTATCTTAATATTATATCTCTACGATAATAGCAGTATATTCAACGTAACTAAGTATGTACAGTATAGTGCAGACGGATTAATGTTTATTTACTACTCATATATCTTGTACTTGTAACATGATAAAATCATTTAGGTAATGATATCATAAGGAAAATTATAAACTGAAATGAAACTATTATTTTGGATAGAACGTTCTCGTTTCTGTTTTTGATAATTTAAGAATGTATTTTAATAATGTTTTCAATATGATTTCGTCAATTGTGTATAAATAAATATTAACACAGTGCCTAAAGATTCAAAGTCATGATATCGTTTTTCTTTAAGATTTCGTAACCAAAACGTAAAAACTAAACCGTCTAAGACTCGGCTGTCTCTCCGGCCGGATCTGTTTATGACCATGCTTATAAAAAAACACAAATTTATATAATACATGCGCGCATAAATTTCGACAATCAAATGTAAATTTAAGTTAAGTAATTGTATGCAAAGAAGAAAGCACTCAGCTTCAGCACCTAAGAGTGGTGGAGAAAAATCGCGTGACTATTAACTACAAACTACTCAAAAGTAAAATTGAAATGTAAAAACCAATTGATATCGAATATAAAATTGATAAATTGTAGCGGAATGTGTGCGGTAAACCTAAGGAAGATTAAAATGTAAAACATTCTTATTTGATAGATGAAATTCTTATTAAACTAAGTAACTATTATACAGTACTTCATTTGTTTGTTGATCTGTCCCCTCCTAATTGTGGTAATCAGCGAGAATTCACACGGCCTGTTATGACGTATAATGAGTCTTTGTCAGTACATAAAGGGCAGCAAAAAATATGAAAGTCACGAAATTTGATAGAACACGTACAAAACAATGGCAGTGACCGGCCACACTCAGTCATGCGAACTCGGGTGATACATTACGGGACAGAGTCGGTACTTCTGGTACAATTTTTTTTTAATAAAGTGGCGTACATCTGGAATTATTCACTTCACTTATAGGCCAGTCGTTTAAGCGAATCGATCATCGGTAACGGTGACAAAAAAGAAACGCACGCGAGATCTTGTGTCCCGTTAATTATCGTTATAAATCTTAGTTACAAAACGTATTTGTTAATTTTTTTTTTATTTATTAGATATAGCTTTGCACAGCCCGTGGTCACGAGGGTGACTATAATTTTCAAACAAGATAGCCAATATATTTCGCGTTTAAAACAATTATTTACTATCTTTATACCTAGTTAGTTAGTTTCTGAATGTGAAAAAAGTTGACACCGTTTGTAAATAAATCTTTTAGGTCTCGAAAAATCCACTAATCAAACTACTGTTTTCAACGGCATTCATGATACATGTTTTATCGTGTAAATCAGTCAAAAATATTGAGACAGAACTGTGACACATAGTTTAAGGCGTATTTTATAGTAGAGAATGACTGACTAACCCGTGGTTCACTTTTTGGAATGCGAAATATAAGATCTTAACAAAATACTCTGTGGCTGGGATATTCGGAAATCTAAAGGCTGAAACCGGAACGCAATTAAGCTTCACTGTCACCACCACCAGCACTGCTGATGGTGGTTTGTAACCCGGAAGGAATTTCGATATTCTTACCACATTCTTATTTATTATCCATATGTCCAGACGAAGTCGAACATGCTTCAGAAAAGTTATAAATTTATTAGAGGACCCGGTGGGGTTCGAACCCATCACCCGTTGATCAATTGCCATTGCTACCATTAGACCAACGAGGCCGTCGAATACTTTTCAGGATTAAGGCTGAAAAGTACAATAGAAGAGTTAGATCCTTTTAAACTATGCGATAACTTGCTTTGTAGGGATTGAATAACCTCTAACAACTCATAAAGTGATAACAATAATTCACTATCATTGATAAGATTCACACGGAGTTTCAATTCACTCTTAATCTGATAGGGTGCAGGGAGCAGTCATTGTTCTTCCATCCCGTTTCCGCGTATGCCGTCGGAAAGAGGCCGAGTTATTCGGTGATAACGCTGAATGTAATGGTAGCTCTTTCATTTGTTGGTTATGACCAAGTAGGCCGCAAGGATTGGTCAAGTTCGCAGTGATCGTTGTGTTATTTATCGGAAAAAGGGCAGAACAGGGAAGAAAAATGGTAATGTATTAAAATTGCAAAACTCTCGCTCCATTAAAATTGCGAATACGTCGCGGCAAGTTACGCTGGCCGAATTATAATCGCGCTGTATTTTGAAAACGACGAAAAATTTCACAATAAGTGGCTAAGTTGTCGGAGATTTTGACGTAACTCGACAGTGTTTTTGTATTAGGAGACTTCAGATATTTTTGTTAAATTTATATCATTCTAAAGATCATTTTTTTACAAACGTTAATATATCTTTTTCTGGACTAGCTGTCTGTACGTACTTGATCACTAAATAATCGAAAAAAATAATATAAGCCCAATTTAATTTACAATTTTAAGTACACATTTAGATAGGTAATAAATTAGGTATTACTTTTATGAACCTAATTTGTAAAGCGGCCTATCAGTTGACCTTACTTTATCTGCATGAAAACAAAAATACAGATACAAATAAGAATATTATGTTTGCTCCATATCGAAATAAAACTTATTAGAGCAAACATGTGTTTTCGCTGTAATAAAACAAAACTCTCCCTTCATTCCTTTCGTTTTTTATTTTCGGTAACTGTATTCGAGGTTAAACGGTTTCAATCACGTTATTTAAATAACTACAAATTCGATTCTTTGTGAACACTGCTTTTGAATATGAAGTATTAATTTACTGGGCGGACTCTTAACGGTTTTTATTTTTAGTTGTATACATAATTGACATTGTAACAATACGCAATTGTAGTAATTTCAAGGATAAAAAGTACGTACTATTGATCACGTTTTACTCTAAACGATTGCGGAAGCTTTTATCTAAAACACAGGTAAAGACATAATGTTAGAGTATGTCTATTTTAGGTCCTTACACAATATTTAAAATTACGAAATTCCGTCCACAGATAAAAGTACCCGTCAAGTTTGATCGCGTTTCGTTGACAGTGGGTGGATTTCCGATTATCCAAAGTCAAATTAAATCGACAGCGCATATTGTTATCAAGTCAACCCCCAGGCTTGTCTGTCCTTCCCTATGATAGAAAAATACTACCTTGGCTTTGTGATAGCGATGGGAGAAGCAAACGAATACTGGGATCAAATAAAAAAAAAACCAATCGATACTTGTTACAACACACACACACAAACATTTGTCTGCCCTCTGGAAATGACGAAACGAGATTTAATTTTGGCTCCGTTATGTGGAATGCGTGTAATGATAACAATAATAACGTATTTTACATTTGAAATTGCCATATTCTATAAGTAGTATTGTAATTAGTATGTTCTCAAATGCCCGGGCTCTATTACCGCGGTGGAAACAAGCTTTTTGTTAGTAAATTTATTTTTTTATCTATACTAATATTATAAAGCTGAAGATTTCGTTTGAATGCTCTTATCTCAGAAATTAGTGGATAAGAGAATACCTAATTATTCTTGTGTTGGTTTGACCGTTTATCGAGGTCGACCAAGAAACAACGAGAAATAAAGAAAAACGGGGAAAATATTCATCCTTGTGAACCGTTCCGTGCGCAGCTATAACGGTTCAAGATACCCAAATAATAAGTATAGAGGAACAAGAAAACAAGAAAAACAATATATGTTGTTTTAAATAATGTAAAAATTGTTAAAGACAGTACAATTAACTCAGAAGTAGCGTTTTTAATGTTGTTCATTTTCATTGAAATACTTCATAAGGCTAAAGAACGTTTGGCAAGACCAGCTCGTTAAAGATATTTAATTATTTCTTCGATTATCTATATATTTATTTTATTAATAAAAATACCACAAAGCCCTGACAGGGATGACCCTAATGAAGCCACGTTGCTTACATGCTAATAAAATTAACTATACATAATATAGTCGCTAACAACAGATCTTCGTTCGTCTTATAGATTCAAAGTTTCCCATAGTGGCGACCTGAGTCCTGAATGTACCGTGTTTGAATAATTGCTTGTTATGAAGTCAGTGAACTTGGCATACACAATTTCCTATTGTTACCTCTTTGCCGTGTACTTATTCATACGAAATAATTATAACAAAGCCACGAAACGGAACTTCGCGTTTTACCAAGGGGTTCCTGTGTTCGGAGCCTAAGAATATTTGCGCCAATCAGGGTTTTTATGATAGAAGAAGAAAAACAAGCGTGGGATTCACTCAGCCGTAAAATATCCAACAGGATGCTCGGTAGACCGAATTTGGACTTTGGATGTTGGGAAATCCACACACTGAAACCGAAACGCGATTAAACTGCACAGCTTTTCATTTGTGGACGTCGGTCTCAATTTTCCAGACGAAGTCCAACACTGACCTGTTAGGATTCAAACCCACAACACATTAGTTGGCTTACACTCACGACCCCGTCAAATATAAATGATGCCTCAGTATTTCCCTCGTAGACACGATCGCTCGCATTATGCTCTCGCCCTTCGTGAACCATATGAACCAGCCTTAGCATTCGTGTCGGGATCGGAGCGAGTATTTGAAGTATTCCCACGTCCCAGGCCATATTAATTAAGGATGAGGCGTAACGTAGATTGGTCTAATCTACTTTGTTAGCGAAATGAAGCTACTTTTGTGGTACTGACCTATTTGGGACAATTTTACGACGTCAGATCAGGTTGAACAATGTGTTATTTTACGCCGGTTTGCGTGTTAATTAAATAAAACTATTTTTAACGAGTTAATATTCGACTTTATTAAACTACGATTCGATGTTTCATAGTCTTTACAATAGTCGTGGTCATGGGCCACGTGCATTGTAAACAAAATAACTTATTCATAATAGGTCATGTTTTGAACGGTTCAAATGTGTTACTAGCTTAAACTACATAACTATAAATATTATGTACTTGCTAGATGCCAGCAAACAATACCTTTATGTATTGATTAAATTTTTTGCTATGAAATGTATAATTTCATCTGTGGACCGTGGTTCGTGATCCGGACGGATATTTGTTATTTCTACCACCTATTAATATTCTGGATATTACCTGAGTAATTAGGAAAAATTTGGACCCGGTGGTGATGTACCCCACTCGTTGACACGTTCGCCTTACATTGCAACCATGAGACCAACGAGGCCGTCGATCACCAAAAAATAGTACCAAGCCATTAGGAAAAGTGGAGTACAAAGTACTCGAGTCGCCTTCTCGCTATGGCTTTGTACGTTGTATATGTCCAAAGTAAAATATAGGTCACCGGCTTAGCTCTAAGCTTTTACCGATAGATGAAGTCTTTTCATGTCATGTTTCACATTAAAAGAGATGTATAGAGATGAGAAAATACATATGTCTCATATTAAATGGTTCTTATTCGTTTTAATGCTAATTGCAGTCCATACGCACTACATATTTATTTTAAACTAGTTGTGTCAGCGACTTTGTCTGCGTAGAATAGTTATTTTCGGTATCGAAATTTGTTTTTGCAAACCTCCTCGTCTATCCAGCTTTAGTATATCTAAAGCTGGTACCAACGTCGTTTTGGCAAGTTAATCTTCAAGATAGACCTGTAGGTACTGTCGCGGCCTTTTTTTTAGATTGTCTTCTCTAAACAGAACCCCTTAAAGATGAATAATTTTCCAATTTTTCCACATTTTCTACCGTACCCTCGCTCCTTTAGGTCGCATCATGAGTTTTAAAAACCTAAAGCCTTCCTCGATAAATGCTCTAACATACACAAAAAGAATTTTCAATTCGAACCAGATTAGTGGGTTTGAACAAACAACGAAAAGTTTCATATATTAGTATAGATTAATATTTCAAATGGACTATACTTTTCCATGACAATTCTTTCTCGGAAATATATGCAGAGAATAAATTTCTAGAATTAACATAATAACATCTACGACCTTTAGCCTTAGTATCAACTTCATTGAGTAAACTACAATTAAATTTTGCGTCTCTTTCGCGCCCACGAGGTTCAAAAGAGATAGTGAAATTCATGAGTCTCTTGTAGAAAAAGGGGATAAGCGTGTTCCAAGCGTAGGCGCGAACTTAATAGAAGGTTGTGTGGGATGGTGTTCGTGAAATGTCTACAATGAATTTTCACACTTTATTGACGGGAAGAATTATATCGCTATCTTGGTTCGCAGTAATCTATTTAAAAGGCAACGAACTCACATCTTTTAACCACAATATGAGGTATTTGTATTTTGAAATAAATATTGTAACGGATTAAAACACGAAATATAAATAAAGTATTAGTTAACTCGTATGGCGGTATTAGGAATATCTAAATTTCGTCCGGGTAACGAACCACATCTATACTCACATATAAAGCTGAAGAGTTTGTTTTTTTGTTTGACGGCGCTAATCTCATGAACTACTAGTTCAAATTGAAAAATTCAGTAATGCTATAGGCGATAAAATATTGCGATGCGACTTATATGAGCGAAAGAAAGAGTGGGAAATGTTATCTCTTTGTGGGTTGCTGTTGTACTTTTTGGTACGAAAGAATGATTCCTTTTTAAATGATCTAAAAAAATCTCCCCGATAGTCTATGTCTATCTTTTAAGATTAACTTGCAAGAACGACGGAAAGCAGACACGTGGGTAACAGAATTTATAAAGATGTGGACGAAGTTTGCAAAAACAGTTATTGATATCCAAAATAACTGTTCCACACGGACGGATTCGCTGATACGGCTAGTTCCGCAGATAATTTTAATCGCGTTTTGGTTTTAGTCTGTGGATTTCACCTAACGTAAAGTGAACTCCACCCTCATCTGCTCTTCTCTATCATAAGGAGCTGTCACCGTTTTAAACACGATACGGTTATTTAATCACGTTTAAAAATATTTTTCATAGAACGATCCGGAAAGAAGCAGGTATTTAGATATCTAATCAAATGTATTTTTAAATTTTGCCTATTACCTTATCTCTGAAGGTTTATCGCATTCCAATTTGTAATAATTCATATCGCCCAGTTACAAATTCGATTTTAACGAAGGAAGTGCGGGAGACCGGCCTTATTAGGTGAAAAGTAGAAATTGCTTGTTTGAACTTATTTTGTGAAATTTACAAACATGGTAAATATTTTTGTGCTCCAATATTTCGTAATTAATATTCAAATCATTCAATAAATAATTTTCCTGCCATAGTGTGTATAATAATGAAATTTTGCTTATACATTTTCTAGACTTGAAAATAGATTCTAATATATTTCTAATTTTCTTTCACTCGTATATAACATTTTCACGCACGCACGCTCAATATTGTCTAGGTATATCGGGTCTGATAGTGTTTTTATAATGCTAAACGTCTTTATAAGAAATAATATTATAAAGTGGGGATTTATTTCTTATGTTAAATATTATTACTAATGACTCTAAAGATATGGTTTACTGTAAGAGGCAATAAAATAGCAATTATGAATGATAAGAAAATATATGATTCATGTGAGTGTGACACACTTCTGATTCGGCTCTACAATTGTGTAATTATACTCAATTTAAAATCTCTTTTCAGAGTAAACTCTTTCGAACAAAGTCGAGTGATTTCGAAACTGAGGCGCTGGAAGTTCACAACGAATACAGAAGGGAGCACGGCGTACCCCCGCTAGTCCTCAATAAGGAGATCTGCAAAGTCAGCCAGAAATGGGCTGAAGAACTAGCTAAAAAAGATTCCATGTCCTACAGTCTAAACTCCGACTACGGTGAAAGCGTATACTGCGGCTGGTCTTCGGATCCTAACGTGAAGATCAGGGCACGTGACTGCATAGACCGGTGGTACAACGAAATCAATGAATACTCTTTCGGAAAAGAACCTGAAGTACTGAATTGCGGACATTTTACACAGATTGTATGGAAAAACACTCAAGAATTGGGTATCGGCAGCGCGAAGAGCAAATCTGGTAAACTATACATTGTAGCCAATTACTATCCACCAGGTAACTATGGGGGACAGTTTGTCAAAAATGTTCTTCCACCAGGAGCATTTCAGTTTAAAAGTTCTTCAAGCGTGAGTTCTTCAGAATCCCCGCGCGAATCTAACAATAACTTAAGCTCATCACCACAGAAATATGGTAAGAATATAAGCGATTACGCGTCCGAATTGGTCACGAAGCTAAAGTCCTCATCAATATCAAGCGAGAGATTTGAAGAAGATTTCTTGAAGGCTCACAACGAGTACAGAAGTAAGCACAGAGCTCCGCCGCTAGTTCTGAACAAAAAACTCAGCAAGTACGCTGAAGAATGGGCGAAAACAATAGCAAAAAATGGTAGAGTGGAACACAGAGATCAAAACGAATACGGAGAAAATATATTTTATGCCTGGTCGTCTGACCCTAACTTCGTTTTATCCGGGAAGGACCCCGTGGAGAAATGGTACAGTGAAATTAAGAATCACGAATTTGGAAAGGAGCCAGACAACTTGGGCTCTGGACATTTCTCTCAGGTCGTTTGGGAAGATACGATGGAAGTTGGTGTGGGTTTTGCGAAAACAAAAGAGGGACAAGTGTACGTTGTAGCGAACTATCATCCACCTGGCAATGTACTTGGCAGTTTTGCAGCCAAAGTTCGTCCGCCTGTTTATTAGGAAATAAAGGCATACTCTAGAGAAGTTTACATTCCAAAGAGATGAAACTCCATTATAGGATTTTTTAAATGTTTATGTAATTTTTATATTTATATAAGTTATTATTATTCTTAGGTCTTAGTATAAGATCCAAAGAGTGTTTTTACAAGTTATCGCAATTTTATTATACTGAATACAACTATGAGAGTTACCAAATATTTGCCAAATATAGTAGCTAGCAATATTAAATTATTTTAACTCTTAACAATTATATATTATGTTTCGCAAAATAATACTTACGTTTTTGTTTACTCTACATAATACATGTACATATTTGTAATAATCGTCTAAGACTCACATGAATATAAAAGTGGCTTTTTGAAGACTGTAATTTTAAATTTTTGTTTTAATTTCACCTCGGTCTTAAAAGACCAATGTATGAGATTGGCATAAAAAACACCATTTCATGGTATGCATTTTGTTAAATATAAGTTAGCTATTAAGTTATTTATTTCATAGTAATTGTTTTAACGAATTCTAAGCCTTATTTTACAGCAGCAAAGATTAAAATTGATTATGCAATACCCTGTAAGGTAGATTAAACTTGCGGGATACTATAACTCAGATGTGAATCGTTAATATTGATAGGATTCTGGACTAAGGAAAATAATCTTTAATGCGTGTTCAAAGGGGTTATTATCGCTTGAATGTTGCACCGTAGCTAAATGTTTAACGTGCGTAAGTTATTGCAATCAATGCACAGAATTTGTGATAGAGGTTTACTTATATAGTAACTAATTGTGATACCAATGAATTGGAAAATACATGCTTATATCTTCATTATTTTGGTGAGGATTAACACACTTATGAGCCAGAAAATATAGTTAATACTACATTCCCGTATACTTCAGCATACAAAATAGTAACGAAAAGACTTCAATGTAAGGTTGTCAGCGCAGTAATTTGTACCCTTAGTTTAGTTAGATAAGAAACTATTTTGCTTTGTTCTAGAATCTAGTCAAAGTGCAAGGAAATATATATGATTCAATGAAACTTCAAAGTATAATCGATTTGGTAAAGGTAAGTGCATATTTGAACGTTATTTTTACTGTGTATTGAGAATAGTTTTCTACCAAAACTTGTCCCCTGATTCTACTTGTTAATTATCAGTATATATTGTAACCCTTATCATAAACATTTTTGTATAATAGAAATCTTAAATTGTATATAAATGTCTATTTGATATATTCATTATTATGTATTTTACGTAATAAAAATCACACCATAATACCAAATTGTTTTAGTCACCTGAATAAAATATATGTTCGTTATGTTATCCATATACGACAATAGTACAGTCATAAGTTTGCGAAATCTGAATCATGAAGTGGCAAAAGTCCACGTCGATTTTATGCCTCGCCTTAAGAATTGGCTCTAAGACTTATTACAATGAACCCAGAAAAACATTTTTTTATTCGACATTTTATTTAAATTTTTGTGTAGTAAGCATTTAAATTAGACATTTTAATGTATATTTTATATTAAGAGTCGCGATGGGGTCGTAGTTCAAATAAATAGATGTTGTGTAACGATCAACGGGTCGTAGATTCAATCTCAACATGTTTCTTATCAATTTATATATTTTTTTGGAAATGAGTTGAACTTTGGAAAGTGAACCACGTGCTTGTTTATATCTTCTGTCAGAAATATTCTGTTTCATACTGTTAAACGTAGTTTTATTTAATATGTTATAATGTATGCAGAGGAGAAATGGTAACCTTTATATAGACGTATGTCTACAGTTTATCCAAGATAGTCGATGTTATTATCGCCTGTACCATGCAACAGAGGATATATTATGAAAGTTATCTGTCACATGCAGGACATTGCACATAGACATATCATGGCTTCTCCTTAAAGATAAATATGTTTTCTTTTTGGTGGTAATAATATCTATTAGTGTTTATATAAAAGACTTTTAACTACAGCGGAACGTTTGGCCGTACTTAAAATATATTTCGCGTTGAGACCCTTAAAGTTTTTATTTAAATGTTACTCATACTCATACGACTGATGACTTATGTCTCATATGATTATTTTGATGGAAGTAGTACCTGATTTTCATTCTTCATAGAGACGTCACTTCACAAGACAAGGCTTTAATTCACCTAAATCTTATACGTAAGTATTGTCTCCAGACAAAACAAGACGTTTGTACATATTATACTTAGTATAAATATAAACATGAGAGTTTATAATTGAAATCTAGTGTCTTCTATGAGTTTTGACTAAATCTCAAAATTAACGACGTACCTCTATTTTATAAATAATTTAATATTCAAGACTGTCTCAATACCTGATGATTACTTTTTAATTATTGAAATCGGACATGCCATTCAAAAGATATCACGAAGTTAAAATAAAAATGCATTCCGGCGGTGGCCGCCACGCCGCGTATTGAGTATCTAATTCGACGATAGAGCGGCAGTGGGCTCCTTACGCAGTGGGCGCGAACGACATTGAATATTTCGATTCTTTTTTAACATTTTATGCTTCACTTAAAAAGTTATTTTCAAAGCTACGTAGTTTAGTATTAGGAATTGCATAATATTTTCAGAATTATCGCTTTGAACTTGAATATTTTCTTTTGTATTATTATTAGTTTATTCTTAATTTCTCTGATTTAAAATAAATATCCTTCATAGCAATATGCCTAGAAAAGAAGGTTGCAGCTATCTAAGAATAGTTAGTGTACGAGTGATCGTACGTATCGTAGAAAGTATCATAGTGTACGCGACTTGAAAGAAATAGAGCTAGGAATTCGCGAACGCGTGCACGGGACTCTAACACTGAACGCTCGCAGCGGCTCCTGAAGTCCTGACACAGCGTGATAGACAAAGGTCGTTAACAGCTAGGACGCGAAATACATTTTTTTTTCTAATTTAGTGATTCATGGTCGTTTTAATTAGCATGCTTATAATTTTAATATCTGTACTTATTTATGTCTACCCGTGCGAAGCCGGGACAGGGTCGCTAGTATTATATAACGATGCTACTTATAACCAGCACTATCAAAAACAGCATAATTCAGCCATCAAAAGGTTCCAGCCAATGTACACGAATATTCACTTTATGAGTCGCCCTTAACTTTCAATGTAAGTTGAATGTAAGTTACCGCGGACATAGCTTATCAATTAGCCGCAGAATATAGGCCATTGTGATCGATGTGATGCGACTTACGAAGATCTATCAGTAAAGATCCCTAGACAAGAAGTTGAGACAATATTTTTAATAATATGATATTGTTTTTACAAAAAAATAATACATACTTCTTATGAGAACGGAGGGTAGACAAGCTGTACCTCATATATACTTGAAATATCCAAGCCATATCACATCTGTCTGTCACTTATCACAACTGTCAACCTTTTTTGGCTTTGGATATTCGGAAATACACAGACTGAAATCGAAATGCGATTACACTTTAAGACAGAATTCTCACAACTCATTTCAGATCCAGATTTTGGAAAATAATATAAATTAATGATAAACATATTGCACCCGGTGCTCGGATCCGCGTCCAGTTAATTATTTTCTATCTTTAAATTCATTTCAACGAACCCGTCAACACATCTTCTTTTAACGTATAGGTAATATTATGACTTTGTTATCAGAGAAGAAGCTTGCTATCCGATGACGATATACTCGGAGTGCCAAAATACCCGGAGCATTTGCCACGGGCAGAGAGAATTTTGCCCGGGCATACGTTGCTAAAGCCCGCTTTCGGCATGCTGAAATCCTCAGTGAAATTCCCTCAGAGATCCATTGGCAGGGACGTGTATGGAAATGTGGAAAACATCGGGATATCGTGAGTAATTTGAAAGTCACTAGGAGCTTTGAGTTCTTAGGTATTGCCTGTTGTTTAGGACCTACACATTTATAAAATAAATAAAACATTTTTAACGGCTTGAAACACGAAATACTACAAGTTTAATTTCGACGTTTACTGACGTTCGGGCAGCACTAAGCATCCGAAACGTGGGGTCGAAGGATCAATAGTTAATTAATATATTTTTCGTTCTAAGCCGCTTAAAGTCTTATTAAAGTTAGTATTAGTCACAGAAATAATAGACAATTTCTAAATGTATACTCGAAAACTATCTTGACTATTCAACAGAAGTCATAACCAACTTGGTTAGTATTTTTAAAGCAATTACGACATTACTAATTTCCTTTTTTTTCGTCGTTCGTTCTTTGTTTTCCTTCTTGAACTTTTTAAATTGGTAACATGGCCTTAGATAAAAATATAATCTTGTAATTTAGTATTTATATGTAATTTTGTTCCTCTGTGCCTATACAATGCTGTGTAACGTGTGTAGTAATTATATGTTTAAGTGCGCTACAGCTGAAAAAAATGTGTTTCAGATATGGCAACGATAACGAACGTGTTAAGTACAGTAATTTTAGAAAAGCCAACGATCTATTGGTAATATCACCTCTTTACATTATATCACATTTATAAAATAAAAATACTACAATTCCGTCTTCTTTGCTTCCAGACGGTCATAGGGAAAGCAATAAAGAAGTTAAATTCAAGAAATATTGAGAGGTTGATGTCTTATACATATAACAATACGTAATTATAAGTTAAGTAATTAAGTATTAGTTAAAGTACAAGTGGAATCACGTTGCCCCATATGGGGCATAGGGCAAACACTTTACTGTAACAGTTTCATTGATCAATTTAATTTAAAGGCATGTAGTTGAATCCAGAACTTCCCTCGCTTAACGCAATGCTGGGCGACACGTAACCAGTTACAGAGGTGGTTTTTTAAATTTAAAATTATTTATAAAAAAAAGAATGTATCAACATTTCCAAATTAATAGACATTCGCGTTACAAAGGTCGACAGCTCAACCTTTTAATATAACTACAGTATCTTACTTTCCATTAAGTGAACCCTTGCTTGCCTGTGCTTCTCTGTCATAACAAAACAATATGCACAAATTAGATAACAATAAAGTAATACTTTTGTAGATCTGAACCTGTGGTAAGTTTCTTAAAGATTTTTTAGACTAAATCAAATAATAATATATAAATTATATCTTAACTTACTTAAGAACGGATATTAAAATTTTTACTTAATCAACTTCTGACCTTTAATATGTGAAAGATCATTATTTTCTTTCATATATCATAACAGGGTCGTTAGTCCAATATATGAGCAATAATCAACCGGTCGTTGGTTCGATTTCCAATGGATTCAATTTAGTTTACAATTTTTCTGGTACACTGTCTCTTCGCTCCTATTGGTTGCAACATTTTACATAACCAGTAGTCTCGGAGATTAGCGCATTTAAACTTGTCAGGTGACAGATGTTGTATTTTCTAGTGCGAGGTCGGTTCGGTTAATCTCTTAAGAACTTTTCCTCGAACGGAGACAGACGTATTGCTTGATCGATAGTAAATTCTTATAAAATTGTATGCCTCGCAGGTAATCATCGAGGTGGATCCTTTAGAATTACAAGAAAATGAATCGTAAGTATTGTACTTAGTTTACGCGAGTAGTAAACATTTATATAAAACACTTTACCTAAACCCCGTTTGTATTGCATTTTTAAAATCGCTCCTATATTATTACAATTATAGTATATTATAGACTACTGTATTCTGAACTATATTTCACCTATATATGTTGCTAAATAAAACGATTTTATACAGTTCAAAATACGACCTATTTAATATAATAAATATTTAACTACGACCAGGGACATATGACTACCTATTACGGCTGGGGTGGGCTATGTTGGACCGTAGTTAAAACAAAATAGTATAAAAGTAAAATTTCTCGTTTTGAACCGTTACAAGTTAACAAGTTACAAATGAATTCTCTAAATTAGAGAAACTTAGTACATATTACACTCTACTTATAAGTTGTAACATAGGACGGAACGGTGTGAATTATTTTTGTTTTAGACTCTAGATTGTAATTTCTTATTGGGTGTAATTTTCAGCAATGATTTCAAAAAGATGGTAAGTCGTTCTGTTAAAGTCATACAATATTATTTTTATTGATTAAACACAAACTTCAAACCGAATCGCTCTGTACTCAGTTACTTAAAAAAATCAGAATGATATTTTTAAAATAACGACGTTACTTCATTTTCTCTCTGCAGTCAATGGAAGAAGAAAACAATGCTAATGAAATAGCCGACGAGTAAGCATTTTCAAAGATAATAAAACTTTATTTCCGAGGAATTATTATTTCTAGAAAGCTGTAGCTTATTGAATAATTAAAATACTTTATATTTTCAGCTTTGATTCGATTTTTTCAGATGGCAATGTAAGAATAGTTTCCAACATTTTACAAGAATAAACTGAGTAGGTTTTGTAATTCACGACGGGCCGATGTTGTGTAATGTACGGGTAATAATCAACGGGTCGTGGGTGTTCTTCTAAATGTGGACTTCCTCTGGAAATCCACATTTAATAAGAAATGGGTAGTAAGAATATGGAAATTCCGTCCGGGTCACAAGTGAAAAAGTGGTGAAGTGTCGCGTTTCGGTTTCCGTCTGTGGATTTCCGAATAGCCAAAACAGGTCGACACCGCATCTTGTTTAGATGCTATAGGCTGGAGTATTTCACCTGCAATCGAGTGAATCCAATGCATGTCTCTTAGGTGGAGGACGTCCGACGATCCAGGAAGATAAAGTCGGCATTCAGAAACCGGCAGACGAGTGAATCGACAGAGTCGTCGGGCCTCTCGCCGTCGTCTGACAGTTCTGATTACGAGAAAAACGAGGGAAATCCATACACGATTCACAAGGACAAATACAAACAGAATTGGCTTTGGAATCATAAGGTTATTTAAATATTTGCACTTGAAATTAAACACTTTTGACGTGCTTCTGTAGGTTGCGCGCTCACACATTTAAATACGATGATTTTACCGGTCTAAAGCACGAATTATTTAAGAAAAATTAATTAACAATTTATTTGACTACGGGCCAATATTTCGGATGATGTGCATCAAGGGGCATGTAGTTCATACATAGTAAATAAGTTGAGTAATATATGTCGCGCTTTAATCCGTAAAAATGTTTTAATTAAACTCTTACTTGATTCATAGCCTGGTACCTTCTTACATAGTAAAAGATGTCTTTTATTTTCCTAATTCTAACAGTGCTAAATGTGATAGACTTCTAAAAAAAAAATGGATTTAGACTTTACAAAGTGAAATCCCGCGCGCGCGGGGCGAACACATTTCTGTGTCCGTTTTATTAACCGGTTTTATTTACAGCCAAGTAGCTGATTAGACTTCTGTGCCCTGCCCGACCTGAATATACTATTGTTGCCCCGGAATTCGAACCTCGCGCCCTTAACGCAATGCCACTGGCAACACTTTTCCTCATTTAGCTACACAGGCGGCTGTTACTCTTAACTAGTATTTTAATATTAAATCGTTTTTATAGTTTGACGGCGATCACATGAATGTCAACCCGCTGTCGCCGACATTTCAAAACTTTGGTCCCTCCGGGGCTGCGCTGTTTTTTGGAAGGAAATGGTGGTATTTTAATCAGGCAAGTAAAATTAAGAATAATTCCTATAACATTGTTAAAATTACTAGTTATTGCTAATTATGAACGTTTGTTTCAGGATGACTTTAAGCCGTTAGAGTAAAGTAAATTTTAGTGGCATTTTCCATTATTTTTTAATTACAAATAATAGTTATCGACAAAATATGGGTTTTTTTGACAAAGTGTTATACCTCAGTCGTACTGCAAATAAACATAATTCACTATCGATCTTGACCATGTCTACATTTTCAAAACCAAATCAAACATACCTGAAAAGTATTTCTGTAGTGTACGCGAGTAGAACACAATTAAATAAAACACTTTAACGGTTTAAAACGCGTTAGTAGTTATACGTTTTTTTTAATTCACGCTACAGACTAATGTAAAGAATGGAAATACGTTTATTCAGAAACAGTATTTACAATTAAAACTTAGTCTAACGAACAATATCAAAAAACAGTAAATACAAATTTTATTAGCCATAGGCTTTTAGATCAAATAGACCGTATGTTTTACCTTGTGACGTCACCGATATATTAATTAAATCGAAGTGTGAAATTAATAATACACAGTTATCTTATAACTTTGTACAGATTAATTAATATCCGCAGTTAAGCGTGAATTATCTGCACGTAACAGTACGCGCCTATTAATAAACGATATTATCATTAACCTCAGTGCGTGCCATTGCAATTTATTGTTCCTGACAGTAATTGATAGGATTAAGGGATGGGCACACATTCGGTTAAGGCCGCTTGATTTTAAAATACGGCTTCGGAAGCCTTATATTTAGGTATATACTTCACTTGCAAATTATATCAAATGTAGTTCTTAAAAAATAACCTTTAATGTAATTGTGAAGTATGTAGTTAGAAATATTATTTCGTATTACTATGTCATGATGATTCATAAAACTTCGTTTCTTCAAGTTTTCCGTTTTGGTGGTCTAGTGGTTATTGCTGCAAATGACGAAGTGTCGAGTTCCAATCCTAGGTTGGCGAAACGTTAGTTGTTTGGGTCCAAACTTTGTAAAATACTCTCCTATGCAGAAAGTAGACCTGGACGTGACATCAAAATATTCAAAAGATCTTATTAGTGTCATACTGCTAGGAAGTAGGAGATTGAAAAGAAGATAGAAACAATTGAGAAGAAAAAAACTTAAAAACAACTATACTGACATCGTCTTCTGTTTTGACTAATAGGTATAGTATTATAGTAGTTGTATAGTAATCATAGTTTTAGTTTGTGAAACAAACGTCTTCGGAATTTTGGCTTTACATAGACCAAGATGTCCAACATTCGGCTTCGGTTTAAATACGTATCTTGCCCATCTCTAATAGGAGCAAAATAGGGACGATCGATGTTAGGAAATCGCTTGATAAATTGTCGATTTTTGGTCGAGACGTCGTGTACGATATTCGCTTTTCTCGAAGTTTCAGGGATAATATTAATAAATTCAATGGTACTGCCTAATTCTTTTTTACTATTTTCTTGACATGCAACCACATTTTCGTAATATTATGTATCCTAAATAATAACATTCATTATCATAAAATCTTTGCATTAATTTTAAGTAAGTTTTAGATTAAAACAAATTGTTTTAAATACAAACCTTGTATTATTAAAAATATTTGTATTTAGAATATAGCTGCGGGATATTTGAAATGTACTTAAATTTTTACCACAGACCTATTCACATATAATTATTAGGTTTGAAAACATTAATATTTTTCACATGTTATTGCACATGAAGGCACTATATAATTTAAAAATCGAAAATAAATTGAAAAAAATTTTTCGACTCGGGCAGGACTTGAACCGGCATCGTCAGCTTTCAGAGCAACAGCACGGAAAGCTGACGATGCCGGTTCAAGTCCTGCCCGAGTCGAAAAATTTTTTTCAATTTATTTTCGATTTTTAAATTATTAGGTTGTTAAATAAATGTCTTGAAACACAAATAACTTAGAAAATACGATAAATTGGATTAATATTTCTCTCTTAAAAATAGTTTTTCCAATGCTAAAAACTCTTTTGTACAACACGTTTTGTTTATCTGTTTATTTCATATATTATTTGTGTATTAATTGTAAATATCTTAGTTATTAATTTCGCTTTGTTGTACAAACACGTCTTTTTTCATCTTAATTCTTAAAGCTATAATCAAAGACTTGTAATTGTGCATACAAGCTAAGTTTGTATAACAACGCTTCTTAAGTAATTAAATTTAAAATACACTTAAGGGTGCCCCTTAACGCAGTATATACTAGTAAGCATATTTTAATTTATTCGTAGTATAATAAGTTAAAAGCGAATTAACGAATATAATTCGCGTTTTAAAACGTTAAAAGTGTTTTATATAAACGTGTACTATTCTCGTAAACTGCAGACAGAGGTAATCGTCTTTAAACGGAAATAGGAGCCGAATATCTAAAACGTACCTATTATTTTAAACAGGGTTGATATTGTGAAACCGCGTTGAAAGCTATACAAAAAACGCGGAAAGGTGAAACAGCCGGATTGCCTTTCAGAGCCTTGTTTCAAAATAAAATGCGATGTTTTCGTTTTAAAGCCCGCTCCGTCGATATCCGTTTAGCCGCACCCAATTCGATTGGCTCCGGTTCGCTTCCTGAATGTGGCATGACGTTGTCACATAACCCACTTTGTGGAACCTTTAATTTTTCGATCTAACTTCAGAGGGTCGTTCCGATGTACATATATACCTGAGTTATAGCAGCATAAAACCAAGTCGCTTCTTTGCCCATATGTACGCTTAAATCTTTAAAACTACGCAACGGATTTTGGTGCGGTTATTTTAAATAGTGATTCAAGAGGAAGGTTTTTATATACAAAGTTCACAGTTTTTGTGTAGTGTATTTAGTAACAGCATTGCCGCAGAGCGAAGCCGGAGAGGGTCGCTAGTGTACATATAACTTGGATTCAAAGCCCGGGGAAACAATTTATTATTTTTCGCTCAGGGCACAGAAGTCAGAACAACTACTTGACCAAAAAAAACGATCTTTTGAATGGGCACAGACACGTGTTTGCCCCTTGCCCCACGCGTAAATAGGATTTCACTGTTTAGATTTACTAGCGGTTTTCGTCTGTGATAAAATGACTTAAGGAACCGACAATAATTGGTTCAGTTATTCATTTCGAGGGAGCTTAAAAGAGTTCCTCTATACTAACTATACAACACAACAGGCGTAAGTAAACATTATCGCCGGTTTTACCTTTATGTAGTTGTCTTGTATCTTTATGATTTTTTCAAATCGATCCTATGATATTACAATTATAGGTTACTAGCTTACTAAATAATATATATCTTAATACATTGTGTAAGGCTTTCACGGCCATCGTTATGAATCATTAACATCTCGCTCACGTCGGCCGAACAGCCCGAAAAATAATTATATAATATATATCTTGATATGAATGAAACTCTAATTTGTGTCGACCATTGTACATATGTGTAACTGATGTTAAATACAACGTTTTTTGACACTTTAAAATGCGAGCTTTAGTATCTATTCAAGGACAACCACGGGGGATGTGTTATTATAAATTATATGGTATACAGCATCTAAAACGTAGGCTGATAGTAAAAAGTAAATAAACAAATATATTTCGCGTTTTTAACCGTCGAATGTGGAATGATTGAAAATAGATACATTTATGCAGTGAAGGAGAAATACCATTTATTTCTAAATAATTTGAATACACCGAGAAAAGGAAGAAATCAATATGCAAATTCGATTTAATGGACGCCGAACTTATTAATTATAACCAATCGTAAAATTAACAAGAAAACTTTGATTGCTTTCGACGATTTTATTATAGAAACTATGGAGGTATAAAATGGAGAAAGTTAAACTTTTCCTCGTTATTTCTGTAAGTTCTATTTTATGTTTTCGTGTTTAGAAGTTTCGGATTGATTCAATCAGGCCTTTGTGTATTCTAACTTGTTCAATTAATTGAAGCTAGAATAAATACATTTTTGTTCATATATTTCATCGAAAGGCAAAGCTTATGTGCTGCGCCATTAAAGTCAAATTAAAAATCACTCACACCTAGGTAACTAGGCAATTTATATTTACTACCAGTTTTCCACCAGTTACCAAATCAAGGGCAAACGAACGAACAGAACGGGAGAAAAATTCGCGCTTCTTCTTTCATCGCCAAGTTTCAGTTATAAATGCTGTAAACCAAGTTGTATTTCAGTGAATAGATTTCAATACATCTTAGAGACGCAATTACTTCTGAGGTCTTGCTCATCCCAAAACAAACATGTTTCAAGATTGTTGCAGAAACCTTTACCTATACGAAATTTTACTTATGCTTTTAGGGTATATATCACTGCAGCGGAGTCAGCTTACAGTCTCAGTTGGAACATATAGCTGTAAGATTTCTTCACATATATTAGTATTTATGTCCCAAAGCTGCACATAAGTCTCCTCTTGCGTGAAAGAGGGCTAGACTTCGACTCGCTGCGCAATCTTTTCGCACAATCATTTCGCGCAATCTCGAATTGAATACTAGGTTGAATAATATTTAATAACCGAAACCAATGGACACGTGATCCCCGAGGTACACTTACTAACAAAGTTTAGGCTGTAAATAGCCTTTTTAAATGTCAAACATCAGAGTAATATTTATTCCGAAAGAGGATCGAACTTTGGACGTCGAGATGTTCAGTGATTCGTGGGCGAATAAATAAATATACATTAGACCATTACAATATATTAAATATTATATAAACACGATAATTTACAGAAAAGTCGAGCGGAGAGTCGAAGAAAAAGCACTGAAGATCTACCATCGGTAAGATATGATTGAGCCTAAGATGTTTGTTGATAACAATGATTTTACAACTAATTAACAAATAAAGTAATTATAAATTTGATTTTATAACTTCAGTAGTTATAAGATGGCGGAAAGCCTTCAACAAAGTAGTGTACAAGGCGCTATACTGATTTTCCGGCAAACCCTGTTGCTATACGATTAGATTAGAGTGTTAAGCAAACTAAACACATACTTAATATTTAAGTAAAAGCATTTTTTCTAATAATAGAGAGGGACAGACAAGTATAGGATTCTCTTGGTGGTAGGTGATATAGCCATATCACCCAACTCAAAAACACTCGATGTCGACAAGCTGAAACGGAAACATGCCTTTTCCATTTATGGTGGTCCGTCGGATGCATTTTTTAATTCCGCACGATGTTCAAAATGTTTGCAGACAAATTATGAATAGATTATCATCTTCGACTCAGTGGGGATCGACCCACGACCAGTTGATTATTTACTACTTCACATTCACTACCTTTATATCAATAAAGTAATGAGAGTAAGAGCCGTTCGCCGTAACTCGATTACGGAGGCAATATTTTTCAGTTCCTAGAAGCCTACTCGCACGGTACATGTGCGGTGAGGGTAGTGCTCCCCAATAACTCTTATAAACGTTTCCAACACTTTCACCCTATATAAAAATTAATAGCCTTTCAGATGCACGTGAGGTGCGATAAAACTTTATTTTCAACGTAAAGATGTTTAATGGTGACCCTGTACGATTACTCGAATTTATTTCAACCCTAAAACCTTAGTGCTTTTCCCATTGTTACGACAGCGATATTTCTGTTACTAATACTAAAGAATTACCTATGACATTCTTATTTAAATTGAACTCTTTTAACAGTTTAAAACAGAAAAATATTATTTTACTTTCGAATCGACGGGCCGTAGTTTTTAATTAAAAGTAAAATATTAACTGTATATATTTCGCGTTTTAAACCGTTAAAGTGTTTTATTTAAAAGCACTTTATTACTCAAACTAATTATATACCTACAAATATAATACATACTAAATTAATTATTCACATAACAGAGTTAGTGCAAATACTAAGCATAGCCATATTTGCATTTAACTGATTGATAAAAAAAATATTGAAGAAATAGATTTAGTTGTCTCGTTTAATGATTAACCAAAACAATTTCCTATTTATAGCGAAGAAACAGTTTCTACAAATTCGATCCACGAGAATTATCCAGCATAGTAGGTGTCCCTTCCTCGCCCAGCCATCTCCCTGAAGCGGAACCCGTCCTCCCCGGACACACGCTCCTCAGACCTGCCTTGGGCATGCTGAAGTCCGCCGTCAAGTTTCCACATAGGGAATTGGAAAACGGGGCTGGAGTTTACGGAAATTTCGACAATTTGGGTCTTAGGTCAATGTTTGACTCACAATCATATGTAAATTAATAAAATAACTTATGTGACCTTACTTTATTCAATTGCAAAACTGGTTCTCTGAGAGGTACAGGGTTCAAATCCCCAGACAAACAGTATGATGCCTGTTTATCTCATTTTAATACATTTCCAATTTGAACTAAATTGTTCTATAATAATCTTTTTTTTCATAAATCAAACGTTACAGATACGACGCGAAAAATGAACGTGTTTTATACACAGGATTCAGAAGATCTCCATCCGACTACATTATGGTAAATATTACATTGATTTGTTTTAAACCTTAATAAACATTAACAGTATACAAATAGTTTAAGGCTTGACCTGAACGAACTCAGGTGTCCCTGGGGGGCGAACTGTGACGCAGGATCGAGGTGGCGTTCTCTCGCTCTGGAGTTCAAGACCCACTTTATGTTATGAGTATGGAAGCGGAGACTAATTATAACTAATCGTTGATCAAAGTAGAAACGTTAAATACATATGTTTCGTTGCCGTCTTAAAGCTTTTGACTCTGAAAGGAGTGCAAAGCCTGTCCAACTTGGAAATATAAGGTGCAAAGCTTTGATGTTAAGTTGTGATTTCAATTACCGTCTTTTGTTGTTCAATGCTTATTATTTTAATACTAGTCTTTAGCTGATCATTTATTCCTTGGCTATGATTATAAAATGTACTATTTTTCCAGGTCTTGCCAACTAAACACCGAGAACAAAAACCTAAGTATATACAGCGTGTTTTATTTTTTAGTTTTTTTAGTAGGATAGACACGCATAGGTTGACTTGATGGAAGGTGAAATACTCCAGCCACATAACATGTAACTCGACTTTGGATATTCGGAAATCTACAGAACTTCGCGGCTCTTTCATCTATATGGCCCGGACGAAATTAAATATCCAGTTTTCAGGACGGAGTCCGAAATGTTTCAAAAAGACTGCAGTGGGGTTCGACCCTATTGATGATTAGCCAAATATTGCTGAAGGCAACTAGCCCGTCAAACGAATAAATTACTTATTGTTTATAACATTCACTTTTTATTTAAAGGTTTAAAATAGCGTCAGCTGTTTTAGATTTGGTGAGAAAATCTTACGATTTTTATAAACTAGTGCACAGCCTCGTTTACAAATATTTTCATTCATGTAAATTTATGCAACATTAATACAGGACAGAAAAGACTTCAGGGAAAAACTTCTGGAGGCGCTTAACAAAATGAATGTTGGTCAAAAGGGGTAATAATAGGTTTTAAACGTTATTTGACTGAAATACTTTTCAATTTGTTTCTCCTTTTGCTGTTTTTACTTAACTACTAATATTGGAATGTTTTGATCTAATCTTGAGTTATTTTTGTAACATACTTAGGTTTCATTTTAAATCTCAAACCATCAATATATTTTTTTTACAGAAACATAAAGATCGTAATTGCTTCTTTAACAAAAAATGAGGTGAGTATAATTTTCATGTAATATTATTATTTCTGTATATGTAAAATATGTGTAACGCTTTGCTTTTTTAAAGGACATCTCAAATTCGCATACGGAGAACTACTATTTACATGACAAATTACATAATAGGTTAGTGTTAATATAATAATTTATACTAACCTTAAAAAGCGACGACATACAAATTATTTAATCTACTAAACACAGTTTTAGCTGATGTAGCGAAATGTTATTGTTAATACATATGTAATATGACCCGACGTTTTTTAGTTCCAGTCATGACCACAACTGCTGTAAAGCATTTGAAGCGTCGGGTCGTAGTTAATAATAAGTTAACTCTTTAAAAATCCCCGACAGTCAATAAGTATTATAATTAACGTGGTTACTTCGAGAAGTACAGGATCGGAATGCTTCGGATTTTTTGTCTGTATATCAAAAACGTGTCTTATACATAGGATTAGTGTGAAGAATAGTTTTTTTTTAGATGTCCCTAGTGCTATTATTATATATTGTTATATTACTATCCCACGCTTATTATACTGTGGATATTTGCCGCAGGTTAACGACAAATCTACGAATATTTTAATATAAAATTCATCTTTTTTCAACAGAAATAAAAAATGGAGATGGGATTCTGCGAAAACCGAGGTAATATTGGAATGATCGATTTTAATCATAACAGGTGGCTCTATTCAAGAATTCTACACAAAGGGATCACATCGCACTATTGATAGAATCATTTTACACTCCACTAATAGAACGATCGCGAGTAGAAATCTATTCTGAAATTGATATCCACTACAATCAAACATTTAGAAACACTTCAACGGTTTAAAACATATATTATAAACATATATAACAATATATTTCGCGTTATAAACCGTTAAAATGTTTCTAAATGTGTACGATTTTTGGAAGAGTTTTTTTTTTAATTTACTTTAACTATTTTATTGGATAAAGTAGAATAATGAGTGTAAAAAAGATTTTAGAAATATGTTGGACTTGATGGAAATCGAACCCCAGCCCGTTGAATATAAAATGTAAACCGCTACCATTACACAAACAAGATCGTAGAAAGTTTATCTCTCTGTACTACAATCCTGCTATCAAATGGTAATTCGAAATCGCTTATTGTCGACGATTCTCCGTCTAACGAAGCCAATACGTCTCGCAAACTAGCGAGAAGACCCACCATTGCTTAATCAAGCCAAATCCCCAGCTTCGCGTCATTTCCGGATGTCTGTCGCTTTTGTTTCTAATCAGAATATTTTACAACGATTACCATAACATTTTCAGCAGATTTAATCTAAATGCAATTAAATTCAAATGTATGCGCACATTTATACATGTCGGAGTTACGTTGTCTTCTTGGTCACTCTTTGTCGGAATCAGCAGGATTCCGGGTAAGAAATAATAATAGTCAGTTCCTTGGCAGGTGACTTATGACGATCCAACGATAACTGAACTCGACTCAACAAATGCGCTCCTTTTTATTATCGTTGCCCCCTCCCGTTGCCTAGACTCTGTACACGTCAAAGTGACGTTTGTGTTGTTGACGTCCCGTACGCATGACCCGGATGCGACACGGCCATCCTGAGTGAGCCACGTCCTCGTGGCTAGTCTGAAAGGAATTAAATTGCACGCAGCATCATTCTTGCTCGGCCATATCTGACCTAATCAGGATCGTTCTTACAAAACCATCTCTTGTGTCACAAAACACGATACACCTAAAAAAAATCAGAAACATTATTAATAACAACACAACCCATCTAAACATCAATTGTAACTGTAGGTCATCCCTGTGACCGCACAGACTCTTAAGTCAACCCTTTGACAGTTTTACCAATAGTCATCAGTTCAGTGGTCAATTAATACAGTCATCCCTGTGACTTACACACGCATTCAAACACACATCGTCATCCATAAAGCTACTATACCAGGATAACTGGACCGGTGACCGAACAAGCCATGGACAACCTCACAGCATCCGACAACACTAGGATAACTAGGTCAGTGTCCGAACAAGTCATGGACAACCTCACAGCATCCGACAACACTAGGATAACTAGGTCAGTGTCCGAACACGTCATGGACAACCTCCTTCAAGCATCCGACAACACATGGATAAATTGGTCAGTGTCCGAACAAGTCCTGGACAACCTCCTTCCAGTATACGACAACACATGGATAGCCGTGCCGGTGTCCGAACAAGCCTTGGACAACCATTCCGACATCCGACAGTATAATTTATCTCTAATTCACAACTTTAACGAGAGCTAGTTGATGACACAGCAAAGCGTTGGTCCAGGCATCCATTGTGGTACAAATATCCAGCGGTCGCATCGATATTGCACAGGTCGACCCGCTTCTCTGTACTGGAAGCACCGCCGCTACCGTTGCTTCCGCCCTTTGCTCTTCCGCTTCGGGCAGCTGGATGCGTAGTGTCCTTGCAGTGAAAAGCTGCTTAAAATTTTCCCAAATCATCCCATCAGTAAGCACGTACGTCCATATCACGTCGGTCTGGATCAAAATCAGGAAAGCAGAGTTCGTTCAGCGTTCGCGACTGCTTCACGACTTATTTATTTGCAGCACGTGGGGCGTTCAGGCTACATCCCAATTCTGATGTCGGAGTTACGTTGTCTTCTTGGTCACTCTTTGTCGGAATCAGCAGGATTCCGGGTAAGAAATAATAATAGTCAGTTCCTTGGCAGGTGACTTATGACGATCCAACGATAACTGAACTCGACTCAACAAATGCGCTCCTTTTTATTATCGTTGCCCCCTCCCGTTGCCTAGACTCTGTACACGTCAAAGTGACGTTTGTGTTGTTGACGTCCCGTACGCATGACCCGGATGCGACATACATATATGTATTTCCATACTGATTTCAGGGTCACGACGGAAGACTGAAACGGTAAATATAGATAGATATAAAGAGTGACGTCTTTGTGTCATTTTTTGTTGTAATTATTTTCATTCTTCTCAGATTCGTACCAGTCCATTCAAAGGTAAATAACACAATTATGTTTGACGGTATAAAAATATCGGACGGGCTCGTTGGCGTAATGGTAGCAAACCCCACCGGGTCCACTACATTTTTTTTATCAATTTAGAAATATGTTGGACTTCGTGTGGAAATCTAAATATTAAATGGATAGTAGGAATATCGAAATTCCGTCCGGATCTTGAACCACCAAAATTTTCTGTCCTACTTTTTTTTGTACGTAACAACTAGTCTAAAAGCCAGTGTTCCACAGACTAACAGCAAAATAGTACTTTCGTCTTTATATGTATTATACGATGTAATGAGGCTAAAGTATTTCCATCATGGGTTTTTGAATGAAGAATCAAAAATCTTACTTGATGAGATTTCTTTTCATACTTTTTTATTATAAGTCTCCTTTTCCCTCTTTCAGTATCTTTATAACCTTCGCGGTATCCCCAATGAGAAGCCAGTCCTCAGAAACCAAAATGAGGCTTTGAATGTACAATCTTCTGCAGATGTAACCCTCGAAGACGGAGTTACTGAAAAAAATGCTAACGAGACACCAAAACCAAAATTGGTGAAAATTCAGGTATTAAATATATTATTTCTTATAGAATAGTAGCAAAGAATATTTGAAAAAACAAAATAATGTTGGTTTTTAAGATTGTCTGAATATCCCGTTTCTCCTGTTGGGCATGGGGCGAATACATGTCTATGTCAGTTTCACTGATCGGTTTTATTTACATGCAAGTAGTTGATCAGACTTCTGTGCCCTGACCGACCGAAACAATCTACTTGTTCCCTGAGATCCGAACCCAGGTCCTCTTGCGCTTAACGCGATGCTACGCAACACGTTTAAACATTTAGCTACAGAGGCGGTCTCAAAAGGTGGTTAATATTTTAAAATACGACCATAATCTCTATAAATTGGCACAGCTGCTGTAGAAATGATTACAAGGAGCCGTACCTTTTTCATTTTCAGAAGGACTTCGATCACCTTCTGATTGATGAAAACGCTCCCGAACATAATGAATTAGTACCGAAAGCGATTTCCAATGAAAAGTTGAGAAAATGGTGGTTTTACAACCAGGTAAGGTTCTACTTAGATAATCTTTTTCTAAATTAAAAGTCGATTGTGGTCTGATACAATTTTACGACACGGGCTGGATTTATTCTTATTAGGTTTTTACTTTATATAAAGCCATCACACACAGTGTAAATATGTGAAAAATGTTAAAATATTCAAAAGTTAAAAATTATTAACTATTATGTGTACTTAACGGGAGCAGTACATATTTAAATAAAACACTTTTGAACAATATCATTCAAGAATCAAAAATAACGACTCAACTTGAGCTACCGAGTCCTAGGTAGCTCAAGTCGAGTCGAAAATGTTTTCTATTTATTTTCGATTCTTAAATTATATAGTGCCTTCATGTGCTATTATATATCATATAAAAAATAATAAAGTTTTCAAACTTTTGAACTATTAAAAACAATAAATAAAAGAAGATTTGTTATGTTTTCAGAATGACTTTAAAGAATTTTCTGGCGAAAGAAGATTATTATAGGCTATAAATAAATAAATGATAATTATATTTTGCCTCTTTTTTGTATTGATCGATATGAGTCTATAAGAATTTATATACACGCCATCTAACATTTAATAGTACTACAGCGTAAACATTTGTAAATGACGCGTGCCATATTGAAGTGGTACAAAAGAAATATAGATGGCATATTTGCAAATGAGAACAATTTATATATGACTTAAAATAGTAATATCCTAAATGCAAAAAATATCTCAAAAATTGGTTACATATTAATTTTTATTGGATATACGTTAAAAATTAAATAACTCTAACTTACGCGAGTATTTAAATAATACAATTTTAACTGTTTTAAGAAATATATTTAACTTATTTTTAATTTATCGTCATGGTCACGGGTGGACTGAAGATGAAGTGTAATGAATTAATATATTTCGCATTTTAAACCGTTAAGATTGCTCTAATTAAATATATTTGCGGTATTTTTCAGTCATGAAATCTATCGCTCTTAGTACACAATACGATAATTCTGAGCTATCTAAAATATTTGCTGAATGGCTTAGGTACAAGATTAAACATATACGTATACGAAGGTAGACGCAAGATTCATTAGTGTTTCTGAGTTATGTCTATAATGGCAAGACAATGGTGTCTTAAATCTATTACGAATAATAAAAAGCAAAGTTTAGTGTTGTGTTTACTCGCAGGAGTTACCCTTAGTGTTATTATAGTTATCTATCTGCGGTGGGTTTTGTTTGAAACCAGATAAAGAAGTGAAAAGTATATATAAAATTACTTAACATAAGGTGTATATAAATATGACAATTATTTAGTTTAAAATTTAAATAAAACACTTTTAACTGTTTAAAACGTAAAATATATGAGTAAAAAAAATATATAAACTGCAGCCCAACATTCCTAAATAATAAATAAACTATACAGTTTTTTCTGTTAATCTGTGGCTGACGTAAAACCGGTATTTTAAGTTTAAAGGCGATAATAGCTGCATTGAAGAGGACAAAACTTGGTACCTTATGATAGAGGAAGGCAGAAAAGAATTCACCTGTGGACAGTGGTTCGGGACCCGGATAAAATTTCGCGATAGTAGGTATCGCGAAATTTTATCCGGGTTTATATAGATTTCCACACATTTATATAGATTTCCCGAACTGGTGGGACTCGAACCCACGACCACATTATTAGCATACATTGTTATAATTAGACCAACGGGCTCGAAAATGTTTACACAAGTCTAGTTGTAAGTTTATGTTTAAACACCAAAAATGTCTATTCGATTCTAACAGAAATAGCAAGTATTTAAATTTGATGATACTCCAATTCTACTGACTAGCTGATTTTTTGTTGAAGTGCAGCCTATATTGTTTATTGATTTGCATTTTTTCGACAATTGCTAATGTTACAAACGAAATGAGCGTGACGTTGGAATTCGCTACTGAAACATTCATTCGTTCTGCGTGTGCGCCGACACGCGATGATTAGTGATCAGTAATTCGTAATAAATCTTCCGCCATTGAGATTTGGTATCGACTCTCAATGTCAAAGTTTAAAATCATTTATTCACGTAGGTAACTATATACACTTATGTCACACCACTAAAACTAAAGACTCTAAATCTGGTAGTAAATGTACCAGTTCTCAAATCGAAGGCGTAGAACGATCGGGAGAAATTATTGATGCATCCTAAGTTTCCTGATTAACGTCGGCAGTTAATCGAAATAGCTTATTTTTAAGCCATAGCTTAAAAAATTGGTTAAGCCTTTTACGCCCATCTTTCTGTATAGCATTGTATTTCGAAGAATTCTTTGTGCAATCGAGGAGCTAACATCTCCTGATGATGCCGTCCGCTCGTGATGGTGAAATGTCGAGACCCTCTTCACGCTCACGTCGGCCGAACAGCCCGAAAAGGAATGATGTGCCAAATTCGTTATTGCTAGTTGTACCAGAGTAATCAACTTTTTCGTACATCTTATCTAGTTGATAGGCGACCAAAGACGTATCTTTGGTCGGTAATAGTGAAGGAAGTGGGGCTTGCCTTAATCTTTCGTTGTCTATAGATTATTAATATTCAATTTAACCCACTGAAATTAAAAATACACATTTTGTGACCAAGTTGGTAAAAATAACAAGAACTTAAATAAATAATTACCTCTTTAAATAAAAAAATGACTTTACATTTTATTTTAATTGCATGCAGCAGCCACGGTCACGGGGGAAGACCTAATATACCTAATACAGCTAATATATTTCTCGTTTGAATCTTGAAAAACGTTTTATTTCAATGTTTACTACTCGCGTAAACAAGACACAGTAAATAAATACCTACTTTAAATATAACGGATGAAAAGACATAAAAATCTCTCATCTTGCTAAATTCCTAATTTTAATGTTCTTAAAGTTTAGGAAGTATATATCTAACAGTACAGTACAGTACAGTGATCATCTATCTCTTGATAGATGATCACTGTACTTTTAAATCCTCAAAGTATTCTTAGTTCTATTATTTATGATTCTTCCTGCACTATGATGCAGCTAGAGACGTCTAATATAAAAGCAATAGTTACTACAGAACCAAGGAAAGACAGTGACATTTTTCTTGGCCGGTATTGGAATACAAAATATACTACTTATTTAGCAGTAATTTTTCACATAAAAAGTCAATAATGTACTTCTAGCTACCACTTTAGTACTTGTGTATGACAGACACATCTAATAATAAGGAAAAGTTAAATGTCGAAAAATAATACTGGGAAACACGTTTCTACTTTGCGCCGTATCCTGTTTGAGGGCAAATTAAAAACTAATAGCTTCGTCGGTGATTAATCCGCTTAGTTAATGTTAGACCTTGTCCATTTACTGTGATTTTGAGCAAACATGTTGATACGGAGTTTTAAATATTTGTGTATTTTTGTGTTTCTCGAACTTGTGTGGTACGTAAAGTAAACCTAAAAGTTTGGTTTTAATTATTGATTAGTTGCTTTTTTTAAATTATTCTATTTTTTATTTTAATTAAAGGTACCTCTTGTTTACTTTGTTTTATAAGTTATTGGATGGCTATAAAGTATTGTTAGTTCAGTTAAAAATATACAAAATAATATGGCGCGAAATATATGAGTTAACTCATTTTTACCTTAATTAAACTGCAAACTGACGTTTAAATATATATCGCGTTTCAAACTGTTATAAATATTTTATGTAAATATGATACTTATAGATAGAAAAATAAAAAAATCGGAGGGCCTCAATATATATATTTACTTTATTTAATTGTTAGGTATATTATTTATTATGGCTTTTTTGTTTGTAGTACATACCATAGAATAAAAAACAAAAAAAGAGAAAGAATCTTACTCACTAACACTATTATATTATATTAATTTTTTTTAACAAAATATGCAAATTGTCTTTTATCTTATCTATCTAAATATACAATTATTTACATATGTACAATCCATTAAATGTCAATGATCGAACTTAACACCCTATAATAGAGAAATATACAAAAAAATATATTTTGTATATGAAATGTATCGTGTCAACTTACCTTTGAAAATGTCATTGCAGTGAAACAAATGCCAATCAACGACAAAAATTAGTAATAGATCAAGATGGAGGTGCTGATGATGCAATGGCAGTCTTTATGGCGCTGCTGAATGAGAAATACTTCGAAGGGTATGTTATTTTAACTATTACTGTTTCTCAAATTTTTACTCTCATGACTACGACAGAGAAAAGACACCCCAGCATTTTAATATCCAAACAAGATGCTTCCTATTTCGGCTTTAAATATTCGTAAATCCAAAGATTGCAATGGAAAAGCGATTACGACTTTTTTATATTTCTTCTACCACCAGATGTTTCAGATCAAGTCCAAGTTGTAGAAGAAAAAATATTAAGGGAATTTAAAAATACCTTGAACTTAGTGGAAATCCAACCCACGATACGTAATAGTCGTTCATTCATCAAAGTTGTTAAAATAAGTAATTGTTAAATAATTTAGTGTATTGAGAACAAAAAAATTAAACTACCTCACATTTTTCTTAATTAGTTCGAGGTAGATTAAACAATAAGGAAGTCCAAATACCAGCCTTTGGAACTATTAAAGGCTTAATGATGATGGAGTATTAATTTCAGACCCGAAGTGGTAGCACTGACGACGGTGCACGGCAATGTTAATGAAAGCCAGGTGTTCATAAATTCAGGAAGGATCCTCAATGTAGCTGAAAGGAGAGATGTGAGTATTCTACATGTTTAACCAATTCCTAAACTAACAATAATATTTTAATTATTATTACGAAGTTCGTTAGTATTGCTAAGTGAAAGTGTAGAATTACATTCTCCTACGGAAAGAAGACAAATCTGTACCTGTTCCAGTAACAAGTTATTTTTTATGTGGTGGTTTACCAAAACACGATTGAACTTCACGCCTTTTCAATCTGCTGGCATGGCCTGGACGGAATTTCGATTCTGCCACCCTGCTGATTTTATATCTAGATTTCCAGCTTCAAGCTCAATATGTATACCAAAAAATTCATAATTTAAGAATTATTGTTTCTAATAGCCACAGCGTATTGTTATACAGCCTAAAGCCTTTCATGATAGTAGTGTATCCAACACAAAACAAATGTTTTTAATTCGATCCAGTAGTTCCTGAGATTAACGCGTCTAAACAAACAAACTCTTCAGCTGTATATATATATAAAGTGCATTTATATATTACAGATACCAATCTATCGTGGTTGTGTAGAGCCGTTCGTCAGAGGAATAACGTCGGATTTCTTTTTCGGTTTTGACGGCCTTGGAGACAACGAGGTGGAACACTACGACGCCCTTCCATCCCAACCATTACACGCTGCTCTAGCGCTGATTGAGCTGTCTAAGCTGCACGAAGGTAAGTTATACAGCCAGTTGTCGAAATATGACAAAAGTTAAAACAGTTATGATAACATTAAACATTATTAGGATTTCTCGCCCGTATTTTGCATTATTAACGGTTAAAAACGTGAATTGTATAAGTTAGCACATTTACAAATTATTAAAAACTATGCCCCATGATGCGGTCACTAATTTTATTAACTAACCACAAAATTTAAGTGACAGTGAATTTATACTAATAGTAGCATTAATTTTTTTCAGGAAATCTAATCGTGGTAGCGATTGGAGCTTTAACAAATATAGGGCTTGCGATTAAGCTGGATCCAAAATTTCCGTCGAGGCTGGCGCAGCTGTATATTGGTGCTGGGCATATTCATAGTAAGAAATAATATTTCTATTCCTCTTGTTAAGTAAACTTACATTCTAGTCTTTTTAGAGTACTAGGACTATTTCTTGTCGCTAGATAAGTGAGTTTTCTAACTTGGCAAAAGATCACAACGAATATGGCTGTTTTCAAACCATAGCGTACTAGTGAAGCCCTTTTATAGAGAGTAGTCATTGCCACAAATGATATAAGGTTAATGAAATAATCATTATATATGGACAAAACGACCTCAATATCCAAAATCACTTTAATGACGATTTATTTTAGATTTTTTTTATGTCATTATTATTTAACTCAACAATTGTAACGCTTTTCGCTTAAGTGGGACCATACATATAATATATACTTAAATATACATAAAACACACGATTAGGTACATACATTTTATACTGACCCCCTTTTAGAAGAAGAAGAGATGCATTTTGTATTGATTATTCGCGCACAATTTACTAAACAAAAAAAATATTATTCCTTTTCAGATGAGGAGTATAAAGAAGCAGAATTCAATGCAGAGATGGATCCAGAAGCCTACTACATGATAGTCAACAGCAGTTTACCTACTGACCTAACGATAGTTCCGTTTTCACCCATCAGGACAGCCTTTAAAATAGACAATGTAGGATTTATATAAACAATCTTTTCATGACAAACAGACTAGTGGTTCACATGAAGGTAGCAGCCCTAATATCAAATAAACTTCTCATTCGAGTTGTAATTTGTACAATATTGTAGTGGCATTACTCTATTGTAAAAATTACAATTTGTTTTTAAACCTTAAATATAAGTTACATTTAAGGTTTAAAGACATTTATTTCTCAAAAAAGATACAAGATCACTTACTTGAGAACACTATACAAATCAACATTATTTTTCAATTCTTCCCGCGTGCAACGCTCAAGAAATTATAACTAAGAATTACGCATTACGCTGTGTTTGTAACATAAAAAGCTGTTTCTTGAACGTCACTGGCGGCAAACGTTTGAGGTGCGATAGAAGATGGTTAAACAACTGCTCGATGAAATGTTAACATTTTGTGGCCATAATTTGTTCTTATTTTTGGCAAGATAAGGTAACTGCCGGCGAAGACTACGTGTATTAAACAATTAATACTATAACTGTAAGTATTTAAATTAAATACTTTAACGGTCTATTGGATTTAAGTATGGCTTGACGTTTCGGATGCTCTGCAGCAACAGCTCACGGAGAGACTGAATCCCTAATGGCAAAGTCATATCTGCTACGCTAGCGCCATCTGTTTTGTCGTAGTTCGTATTTTTCCGTTTCATAAAGACCAAGCCAATTTCAATTATTCACGTAGGTAACGTAAACTACAAAGTTATGTTTACTATCAGTCCTTAAATCAATTATTATCTGAAATGTATACTATACACGTACTTTGCAAGCTTTACTTGCCAAATAATGAAGAACCCACAACTTTTAAATCTAAAAAAATACGATCTGTATAAATTATAATGAATGAAGTGAAACGGATGTTTTGATAAATTACGGCTCTTGCAAGTTGTTTAACCACTGTAAATGAGATATGGTTCTCGTTACTTCGCTACCGGGAGTAGAGTTTTTATGACAGAGGACCATACTCATACATTCATTGACGATGAAATACCTCAGTCGCACAGACCTGTTTACGCTCGAAAATCCAACCACCTTTAACACCTTCACCATTACTTCATTACTTTCAGAATTGGCGTCTGAACGTTTTGGGCGCAATACCCACCACCATCATGCAGTACATGAACAAATTCGAGCGCCTATCGATACCAGCAGCTCCGTATTGGTCCACGCTGGATCCTGTGGTCATGGCTGTAGCTCTGCACGGCGTGGTTGTGGATACCTGGCATACGGCCTTGAGCAGTATAGTTCTTTGTGGTATGTAATTTATATACAATTCTTATCAGGTTAGATCAATGTTAAGTGGTGGTCGTCAAAGCCCGATAACTTCTACTGGGACAGTATGATGAGATCAGTTTTTTATATCTTGGAGATGTGACTTGTGTCCGGAAGTGGGACTTTTATTAAGTTGAAATAGTGTCTATAGTTTATGCCAGTGGTACAAATTTAAATACACTTTAACGGTTTAAAACGCGAAATATAGTAGATAATAACTTATTTACAAATTATATTTCAAAACGATATATTAAAAGAAATTGTAACACCTTTTAACTTTTTCAGGAAAGGACAGAGGTGTAACACCACACGACTTTTCTTCTGCGACTCCAAACGCGCGGGTTGCTGTAACCTTTAACAAGGGAATATATAAATTCTTCATATACTCTGTCTTTTCTGCATCTCTGAGACGTGCGAACACTTTTTTATTATGAAATAAAAGAAACACTTTCTCGTGGTTTATAAAAACTTAAGTTAATTATGTATATTGATAAGTTAATGTAATGGTCGTTAAAATTAAATTTGTAAACCTCTAATAACTTGTAATCACTTACACAATTTTATAACAATATATAAATGGTAAAATACATAAATCTAGTTTCAATTCTACACCAAAGAGACGTGCTACTAGAAATATAAATTAAAACATAAAATAAAATGCGTTTGAGGCTTCTTAAAATTGGTTTCGTATATTTATTTATTGTTTCTATGAGGTAAGTAATAAACGATCTTTTATTAGATTTTATTGAAAATGTCTAACTGATTCTGTTTAATTATTTCAGTACTGCAAATGCGTTTGGACCAAAACTAATAATTGACCACGATGGAGGAGCAGACGACGCTATGGCTATATTCATGGCTTTGTTGAACGAGAAATACTTCAATGGGTAATAATAAGCTTGATCCTCTAATCGTAAGAATAAGTTAGACGTTATTTACATCTACTAATCATTTTGATCAGCGTGGTAAATCCTTATTTAAGATCCAAATTAGTTTTTGACAATTGAAAAATAGAAACAAACAAAAGTATGTCTTAGTTTGAAACTTAATCCATGTTAAGATTTTCAGATTTTAAACTCCCTTCTGAGTTAATGCCTCCACTAGCTTTTTCTATGATTTATGGGCCGCTGTTGCCCTTAATTATAATCTGCTAGAAGAAAATTGCCTCTATTTCTTTTTCATTTCGTTTCAGCCCTAAAATCGTTGCAATAAGTACGGTGCACGGAAACGTTAATGAGTCTCAGGCGTTTCAGAACACTCAAAGAATTTTAAGCATCGCCGGAAGAAGGGACGTAAGTATTCATAAAATGGTAAGTATCCAAAGGTACAGTAACTCTCATCAAGTATTTATTTTAGATACCAATCTATCGTGGCGCTGGTAGTGCACTGGTGATAGACGTACCGACAGACAGATATTTCGGAATAGATGGCCTAGGAGACAACGACACAACCAAGTATGAGCCAATTGAAGCGCAGTCAGATGTTGCTGCTATCGCTCTAATAAATTTATCCAAAAAATACTCAGGTAGGTGTGTGGATATACTAAAACGCAGTAGGTTGCGCGCGCAATCTTAGTAGTATATATTCATCAAGATTTTTTAAATATAAGACTGGCCTGGTAAAATCTACTCATTTCATGGGCGGTGGGAAAATTTTAATTCCCATTGTCGAAATCCGTTAACGTAATTGCCCTTCAGTTTCAGTTCGCGGATTTCCAAATATCTAAAGTGTCATACAGTCGTTTATATCTAAGGATAATAATCAATCAACTAATTACGACTGCCTTAAGTTGTAAATTTTAGTCTAAGAATTTATACATTTCGAAGCTAAAGAGTTCGACAGCACAACGTATATCAATAGTTAAGCTTGCTTTACTTATATATTAACGGTTCAAAACAAAGCAACATTTACATAAGCTTTAAATAAAACACTTTGACGGTTTAAAACGCGATATATTCGTTAAACTTATTTGAAAATGATTTTTAACTTCAGCCCGACGTTTCGGATGCTTTGCAGCAGCCGTGGTCCCTTCGTATTTTAAACCGTTGGAAGTGATTTATTTTAATATGTTCTTCTAGCGGAAACAGACATTAATAAATTATAAACTATATAAACGAAAACCTATTTGACAGATGCACTTACCATCGTAACATTGGGACCATTGACGAACATAGCTTTGGCGGTGAAATTGGATCCAGATTTTATTTCTAGAATATCCCAAGCGTACATCGCGGCAGGTTATGTCTATAGTAAGTATAAAATATACTAAATTAGAAATCACGGGCGGCAACTGAACCGACATTCACAGCGTTCTGTGCTGTTGCTCTAACCAATTGAATTGAATTGATTCAAACAAAATTAGTTTTTAATTTACATAATGCCATTTTGTGCAAAATGTCCAAAAGATGTTGAATTATACTATTATAGTACTCAGGAAGTAATTGTTCATAGACCATTTATATTGTAAGTGAGCAATGTTTTTTACGTTAAGTAAGTCAGTCAAAATCCAGAATTTATATTATTTTTTAGCAAATGGACTTACTAAGATAGAGTTCAATGTTAAGTTGGATGTTGAAGCATATTATATCGTCATAGAAAACGGATCGTCTGACCAAATAACACTCATACCTTCTTCCCAAATAAAACAGTATCTTAATGTTGGAAGGGTAAGTTCCAAATCACTTTTTATACCACAAATTAGTGTGAGGTAAGGATCAGCTTCTAACATCGACCTATCTAGGCTTTGGACAGTCGAACTTAGGGATTTCGTTTTTAAATATTAGATTTTCATGATACAGGATGATAAACATGCACTCGATGTCAAAATACCTCAGCCAAATGACATACCAACAGGATGCGTTGTCGACCTTTTGACTTTGATTATTTGTAAATCGCGATTAAAATTCACAGCTATATCATCTGTGGCTATTAAAAAACTAGATTTCCAGATTAAGTCCAAATTTTTAAGAAACATGTAGATTAACGAGATGTTTGACCCGGTATGGAATGAAGTCACGATCCGTTGGTTATTAGCCCTGCCATGGTAGTAATATCCCCTCCCATCATTTATTCTTTGGGATCGACACCAGGAACTATTTTTAAAGACCACTGAGTAATCGTTTTTAACAATAAGCATTATTTTCTATTACAGAAATGGCGTAGAGATACTTTCGGCGTTATAGACACAGACATTGTCCGATCACTAAACGATTTTGAGCGAATCTCCATGGCACAAAGTAAAGACTGGAACCTTTTAGATCCCGCTGCTATGGCCTTAGTTCTGGAACCTTCTTTGGTACTAGAAAAGAAACTGACTAGGAATAAAGTTTATTTGTGTGGTAATTTATTTTCTCTTTAATCATTCTCCCGTTCAGAAACTTGTTTACACTTAAAATGTTGGTGCTACAGCACTCAAATAAAATACTCAGAGTAGTGAGTATTTTATTGCGGTTGTTAGAGGCAGAATGGCCTAATAACCAAACATGATTTTCAATAAGAAGGAAATTAAAAATGCGCAATCAACTTAGGAGAAAATGAATTTGTACTATTATTTGTCTTAACAATTTTCGGTCACTGTCCTCTTGTATATTAACATTTTTAGACTATGAAAATATAAATAACACAAATCATAAAATTGCAGTTAAGCTATTCTGCCTCTAAGCTCAATTTATGTACCAAGCTATTATGATATAAATTAAGGGACGAAATTCAATCAGTGAGTTAATAAAGACAAAGGTCGACTGTCCCTCAAATCCTCAGGAAACGTTACAATGTTAAGCCGTGCAACAGACATAAAAATATACCTGGAAAAATTAATAAAAAAGGTTAAACTATTTTTAGGTAAATTACGAGGAAAGACCAGCAACGACTTCAAGACGAAATCACCAAACGCAAGACTGGTTTATTCAGCTGATAAAGATGCGTATCAGGACTTCCTGATGAAAATATTTTCAGCGGAGATCAATGATCAGAGTAATGGTGACACTAGCAATGAAAATAACGACAATTCAAACAATGATAACAGTGCTAACACCACAGAAAGTAATGATAACGCTAATGGTAACGATGATGAGAATACTAGTAACACTAATGATGGTGATAACAATAATTAATTGATGTATATTATATTAAAAAAATAATTAGACCGTTGTTTGAATGTTATCTAGAGTATCTCCTTGCCTTCGTGTAGATTTTAAGCGCATGTTAAGCTTTGACAATCTAACTTATTTTGGAAATAATGTGGAATATATTGTTTTGTATTTATTATTGCAATTCCCTACCCACTTTCAACCTTTCCACATGGAAATTCAATTTCTGTCGATACCGCTATCGGTATTTTCTAAATCTTCGCTGTCCTTTGTCCCCAGATATAGATGATAGTTTATATATTTAAGTATAATAAATATTAGAGATGAGCCGAGTAACGAGTGCCGAGTTTTACTTGGTTTACTTATTTTTCAATCGAGTACTCGGCCGAGTAACTCGGTCAGTCAAATACCAGTCAAGACATCGGCTAGCTTTGATAGACCCCTCACCCCGCCCACGTCTTGATTGCTTGCAAACGCGTTTATTAAACGAGATTTTTTTAAGATCTCCGAAATTACTAATAAATATTTTTGGATTAACACTTTAAATTATATCTACCCAAATATATTGCTTTTCTTAAACAAAGTATAACCGAGTTATTCGGCCGAATACGAGTATCAAAAAACCTGCCGAGTACGCAGAGTACCGAGTAACAATGGAGTACTCGGTCCATCTCTAATAAATATTTCTGTTTCTATTTACAAGAGGTACATATAGGGAGAGCTTCCATTTAAACGTGTAAATGTATGGACCCTTCGCGCTCAATTCCAACTCGCGCTTGATTTTGTCTGTTTGCACACATGCAAAGAAGTTATCTATGCTAATAATACAAAAACTGACGAGTTTGTTTGAACGGGCTAATCTTAAGAACTACCGGTTGGAGATTAATATTAATTAATTTATTTAATTTATCGAGGAAGGCTGTAAAAACAACATCTAGCTCCGACTAATATAAGCGAAAGTACGTTTGAAATATATAGGAATATTATTTATCTTTGAAAATAACGTAGCGTGCGCTGGTGATAGGGTTCAAAATACCAAAAAAATATATAAAAGAATTAGTCTTCTCTAAACAATCTAAAAAAAATCCACGATAGTATTTGTCTATCTTTTAAGATTAATCCACAAGAACCCTTTTTATAGTAAACTAATTTTGTCACAAGAACGTTTGCCAAAGAAGCTTCGTATAATTCTTTAAGCCCTCCCTTTATTATTACCAATTCTCATCCTTTAGTTCAGTAACGATCTGACTCAGCTGACGCGCGTACATTGTCATTTTAAACAAAATTTACGGTCTAAAGGTGAACGACCGGGAGTTTCATATATATTCTAATTATTATCGTGTGGTTTAATAATGTCCTACTTAAATGTGTAGCAAAATGACAGAACAGTAAGTTGTGTTTTCATATTTGTTATAATAAGAGAGTACACATGGTAATAAAACGTTTTTAACGGTTTAAAACGCGAAATATATTAGTTAATTTATGAGAACATTAATATGTTTCACAGGATTGCCTTACATTAATTAGAAATCTATTTACATTGAAAGACATATGTAGCTCAATTGTCGATGCCGGTTCGAGCCCCACCCGTCTCGCCAACTTTTTTAAATTCTGGTAGCTAATTTTTAATTTAACTACGGCCTGACGCCGCTGAAATAGTTTAGCTGATATAATATTTCGCGTTTTAAACCGTTAAAAGTGTTTTATTGGGATTATTCTGTTTCAAAACAAAATTGTGTAAAACAAACAATCTATTTATACTATGTTATTTATAACCTGTTTGATACCGTCGAATGTAAGCGAGCGTGTGAGAAATAATAATTCGACCGTCAATTACGTAAACAAACTATCTCTAAACCAAACCAGTGACAATGTTTATGTGTTGTCACTATCGTCAGTCGAGACTCGTTCCAGTTCGTTGCGATATACTTATCTCATCGTACACACAAGTATCTTAAATCCACTAAACTAAACACGTGAAGTGATGCGATGTACAATGACGGCTAAATTAATATTTGCACTGTTTTTAACCACGAGCTTCGCGTAAGTACTACATAATATTATACATTTTTATGAGCAAGGAGCCGTGGGTTTACTTGAATTATAAATCATATACATGTAAAGATGCGCCATGTGTTTTCATGCGGCTTTGAATATTTATCCTTCACGATCTATTGATATCACTTCTAACCTTTTATATAAATGGCCGCTACTAGATGGCGATACGCGATATTTAAGTGTAAAAATAAGCATTAATTCGCCCGATCTTTATCTACTCCACCCCACTACACTCTCTATTCAATTTTTAAAACTTTGGTTATATATTTTTCATTTTAAACCGTTAAAAAGTGCTTTATACATAAGCCGTATCCTAAATTTAAATCCTCAATGACTTGGTATTCAACGATTTAATTAAAGGCTGAATAATAAGGAATATTTGATTTTTTATGACCAAATTATAACAATATGATTGTTTTCAGAGCCGAAACACAATTCTTAGTAATAGACAATGACGCGGGTGCAGATGATGCGATGGCTATATTCTTAGCTTTACTGAACGAGAAGCATTTTAATGGGTTTGTTAAATTTTATATTTCAGATAAGTCATATGTTTATGTTAGTCGTGTGTTATGTTTTCTATCTTAAATAAGTATCGTTTAAGATGGATTAAGATAGTGGCTATAAGTTAGCTCATTATATTTACAGACCAAAACTAATTGGACTAACGACAGGCAACGGGAACACAAACGAAAATAACGTTTGCATCAACAATCAAAGGATTTTAAAAAAGGCAGGGCGACAAGATGTAAGTTGAAGTAATCTCTGTTTAAATTACCCGATATATCAACATCTAGCACTAAACTTAACTATAAATTCACACCTGGAATATGAGCGAATAATTGGCTTCCGTCAACAGACCAAAAAGTACCTCCAACATGAGACAAAAAATCAGTTGTGTTGCAAGCAAAACTATTTCTTAAATAAATGAGTTATTGGATTATTATCACTCCCAAATCCCATTGCTGGGTTTTGGGCCTTCTTAAAGGGTTACTATGATTTAAATGTAAGCCCTAGAGAAATATTAATATAATACAAGTAACGGAAAATAGATAAAATACATTTTGGATTGCACAAAAGAGATTGCTTGACATTTAAGGATCTTAATTTTGTAGTTAAACCGTGCTTGTAATAAATTTAATAAGTTTATTTGTATAGCATTAGTTATTTCTTAAATTATTAAAATAAATGTATGAAACATTATATTTCTTTGAGTTCAAATTAAACACTATTAACAGTTTAAAACGCGAAGTATTTTAATAAACTCATTTTATGGTATTTTTACTAAAGCCCAATTTGCCCGAGGGTTGCCAAGGGAGGACCATGACGTGTTCAGTAACAATTTTAAAATAAGTTAACTAATATATTTCGAGTTTTAAAGTGTACTACTCGGGTAAAGTACAAAATCCATCCTTTTAAGGTACCTATATTTAGAGGTGCTAAAGCTTCACTAGTGACGACCCCTTACGCGGGCGATTATTATGGTGTGGATGGTCTTGGTGACATTGGGGAGGAGCTTAAGGATGTAGCACCACCGAGCTCTCAAGACGCAGTGCCGGCCCTCATAGAACTATCAAAGACACATAAAGGTCAGTAAGACATTTTCACATTTGCTCAAGAGAGACTTAGCCATTTTAAACCAGGTACGAAATGCCGCTTACAGAGCAGTTTCTATGGAAGAAGTACTTGTTACTTTATACTCAAGCTGATTTTATAAATAACAAAGAGATAACAACGGGTGAAACATCTGTCTAATCAATTTATAATTTTTCTGCAACGTCTGGAAATCTTTTGGCGTCAAATTTGATCGCTCTTTGGTTTCAGTCTGTGGATTTCCGAATATACAAAACCAATATAGGTCAACGGCGCAGCTTGGTTTGATGTTATATTTATTACGTGAACCATGTGCTTGTCTGCCCTCTTCTATCATAAAAAACAATTTGAAATATGACGTTGTATCACATTCTATATTTAAAAGTCTCTGACGTCATAAACTAGCTCTATTTATAACTACCCTCTCTTTTTCCAGGAAAATTAACGGTCATTACTCTAGGCGCACTAACCAATGTTGCATTAGCTATTACACTAGATCCAAACTTCTTAGGACGACTGAACCATTTGTATATCGGCGCTGGACATATAAACAGTTAGTAAAATTTTATCTGTTATAATATTTATCTTATCTATATCTTATGTAGTATGGTTGATATCTTAGGATGATATCATAAAATATAATTTAAGCTTATAAGTGCTTAACTATGAAACAATGTCAAGAAGTTCATCCCTTCTTGACATTGTTTCATAGTTAAGCACTAAACACATAGAAATGCCTATTTTTAGAGACGTTCCAAAAAAATTCTACCATCAAAAAGGAGACTAGTCTCACAGCTATGACGTTAAGATGAAGCTCAAAATAAACGTACTTAGAAAATCAAAAACTTATTAAATGAGCAAGTTTTTCCTTTATATTATCTTTCCAAAATTGTCTCCTGTTATGTTTATGATAACGCTATACACACTATTACCGTAAAACAAACACAACGAATAAATGATATACCCAGTATTTCTTAATTTTTTTTTTTTTTTAAATAACCAGTTGTAAAAAGTAAAAAGTTTCAGTGTTACCCTCGTAGGGAGAAATAATATAGATAATACTAATTTAAATGTTTCGCCATCCAACCCCCGACCCCCTAATAACGACATATAAGCCATTGTAATGTTGTCGCCCTGTTCAGGTGACGAATTCCCTTCAGCCGAATTCAACGCCCATATGGATGTTGAGGCCTATCACATAATCGCAAAACATGCAACGCCGGATAAAGTCACCGTCCTACCATTCTCGCAAGTTATGACGCATTTAAACCTTTCCCGGGTAAGATATTAAAAATTCTTATTTAAGTACTGTCTGTACCTCACGTGAGTAGTAACCAACTTTAACGAAATAGATGACGCTAGCGTTATTAGTTTGACATTAGGGACACCAATTTTCTAACTACTGTGCTACCGGTCTTATATTGTCTACATTTCAAACAGCGTCTTTATAACGAATTTTTTAATTATCAAAATACTACCTTTATCGTAGTCTTTTATCAATCTAAATAGATTTTAAATTTATATAATACCATCATGTGTAAAATATTAGTTTTCAGACGTTAAACTCTGTAATTTCACGTTCAATGATTTTAAGCTGCAAAGCATAAGACATCGAACTTTAACACGTAATTGTTAAGGTTGAAATTACATTTCGCGAGAGGTGCATGTATTAGAAGGTTGAATAATTCGACGATGGCGTTTATCATAGACACGATAGCTTTAGTTAGAGCAAATAGCACAGTACGCTGTGGATGCCGGTTCAATTCCCGCCCGTGTTGTAAATGTTGTCTAGTTTTACGGATCACCTACATCTAAGGGAAAAGTTTCTAACACCTTAAACCTTAGCTTGTTGCTGTATGTCATTAAAGATTCTTGTTTTTTCAAGGAATGGCGGGAAGAAGTGTTGGGCGTAATTAACACGGATATAGTGCGTGCGCAGAACCAGTACGAAAGGATAACTTTGCCGCAGAGTGGCCAATGGCACGCCCTTGACCCCGCCGTCGTCGCCCTGGTCGTGCGCCCAGACTTGGTCCAAGAGTACAAGTATTCGAAAAATGATATCATTTTATGTGGTAAGTGACAGAACAACTAAAAACATTCTAAAAAGTCCTCGTGGTTTAGTGGTAGAACTCGTTCAACATTGCGTGATACACAAGAAATTCTGATTAGAAATATATTTCGCGTTTCTAACCGTTGAATTTGATGCCCAGAATTCGTGTTTACTACTGTCAGTACTTCCCTTTTAAGCAACGTAATCCACGTCAGCTGGCTGTTAGTCTAATTAAGTTAGGATTTATTTATTTTGTGTTTTTACAGGAGACAAAAGAGGCTTAAACACGAACACTTTCGTTGGGAGAGATGACGCCAATATGAGAATAATTTATTCAGTGAAGACGAAAGAGTATCAACAATTCTTATACGATGTCTTTAATGCTGGCTCTTAAAGTCTATCCCTAAATCTAAGTATACCTATTAAATCACTAAGTAAAATTAGTACTTCATTTCATCGTCGTAGTACATATATATATATTAAAACAACTTATCAACTTATTAGCTTCTTAATTCTTAAAACATTGATTGAATGTCATACTTATAGATTTTATCCTCCCGAAACTAGTTCAAGAATGTGCAGGAAAACCAGGCATTTCGTTCAAGTAAAACGTTGAGGAAATCGCGACGCTCTCGGCTCTCACGTGTATTGGTTTGAACAGGTTTCATTATAGCGTAAGATCTGCTTTAGTGTACAATATTCTCCGAATAATACTTATTTAATTGTTTTTAATATCTAAAAAGTTAGGTTCCTAACGACGACTACATCGAGTCATGTGTTCAATCTTACCTCACCGGGTCTAGCTTATTTCTAATCAATTATTATTATTTTATTACCTTCTTATTTATATAACATATAAAAGAGGAAAATCTTACGTACTTATAATTTAAAGGCGATCTTGAAAAAGACTTATTAAGTAGGTAGGTGTAAGGAATAATAAACGAAAGCAAGGGTACAAGGTAAAAGTATACACAGTAAGTAGGAGAGAGACTAACTTAGGAGTTAGTTTCTTTCCTAAAAAGTAAAACTCTTAAAAGCACTCAATCCCTCCGATAGAGCTTTTCTGGTATTGGCAGTGTGTTCCATAGGCGGGTAGTTTTAATTACGTCATTATTAAAGAAAGAAGTTTTATGTTTAGAAAGAAATAAGGAAGATCATTCATAGAATGTAGTTTTAACTGGTGGGAACTCAAAAGAACAAATAACTCTTTTAATTGAGAGGGAGTTTTGGGATCAAAAAGGACACGATAGAGGAGATGCAGCAGATGGGAATTCCGACGAATGCGGTTAAGGAGTCACTTAAGCTTTTTACGACAAAAATGAAACGGATATGCGTACTCTAATGCCACTCCAGCATGTATATTGTGAAATATTAACACCTCACCATCATTTTTGAAGTTAACCCCATGCCTGAAGAAATAGAAAGAAAAAGAAGTATTATTTATTACTGTTTTTCATCCATCTTCCTTAAGTTAGACGTTCTCCATGTTCTACAAAACGCATCAAGCTCTGAGTCCACTCACCTATATAGCATTTATATTCTGCGCATGACCCACAGCTCGCAGTCAGAGCCCCACAACGATGAAGGGCACACTTTGTTTTCTCGTTATATTGTACCTTGCTATGTGCGTTGCTGCTAATTACTATACGACAGCACGCAGCGGCTTCGGAGTCAGCTGCCAGCAGGCTTGTGAAGCAGAAAGCAAGGGACCCTTCCGCTGTAGCGGTTCTGGGTGGTTCCGATGCGAATGTTATTGTCAAAGCTATCAAGATTAGTGAATAGTGTTTGTTGATTAAACGTAAGGAATTCAGTGATTCGTTGTTTTATTGTTTGTTTACATATTTTTTAGATCTTTTATGTGATGAATGAAAAATCTATTATAAATTGAAAAAATCTACGGTACGAGCAGGACTTGAACCGTCCACAGCGTCCCGTGCTGTTGCTCTAATCGATTGAGCTACCGTGTCCTACTGGGCCTATTTAAGTTTATAATAAATTTTTAATTTATATAATGCCATCATGTGAAAAATATTGAAGTTTCCAAATATATTATGTGATGATTACAAATCTCTCGATATCGTGGTGTTTACAAGTGTTATACTTTTTAATTATCATATAAAAAATATGTAGAAGTATTATCCTAAAGGATTTCTACAGTCGCAGTAGGTACTCAAACAAGTGTGTAGTAAGATATTTTTTTTCGTAAGAAATATTTTTTTAACACAATAATAAACAGTACATATTTTATATGCAAGTGGGTACAAATGTACTATTATATTTTGTTATTAAGATGTAAGAATTTAAAAAGTCAATTGAGGCGTTTATTTTTATAGTTAAATTCTGATGCTGTAGTGTTTGTAATAGTTATAAATAGTGGTATCTAGTGAATATTTCTGAAACTAAGGGACCTATAAATGTCTTTGAGGTCAACATTTGTGCAGAGACTATTTCGTGGTATTTCTATAGGTACATAGCCTACTTTACTTTCATATTTCTTTGTCCATAACCAGTTTAATTCGAGGAGGTCGATAACCAGTGTCGCGGGCTTTATTTCATCTCAAAACTAGATACAGCAATATACTCAGTTCATTTGGTAATAATAGCCAAAGATACTGATCAAATTAAAGTAAATTTATAGTGGCTTTCCATAAAACGACGTGTATAAAAAACACTGTATTTAATTGGATCTGCAGTTCCACCACACCACAGCGTTACAAGAAGGTACAACTGAGTCTCACGTTTGCGCATCTATTTTCCTCATGTTCAAATAAGACAAACTACATATTATTATGATGGATTAATACAGGGAAAATTATATTATTTCATTGCTAAACGAGACATCTAGCGAAAACCAAAAGAACTTTTAAGCGTTAAACGAAGCGAAAACTTGCAGAATTTTGTATCTAAATAGATTTTTGCTTTGTTAAATTTCCCTAGAATTGTCACCCACCAAAATGAATAATATGAAGAAAAAATGCTCAATAAGTGATACAAAATTGCCTCCAAAAAAAACTTTGTTGACAATATTCGCTTTTACTGTCAATAAAATTTATGCACGGGCATCGTGCACAATATATGCAAATATTCAACAAGGGTCAAACAAGTTACTGGATCATTAAGTATTTTTCTAAAATATATGGAATTATTCGTATATATTAGACACCAAGAATTTGCTACAAAAATCGAAAAATTCGCTCACAAGGATAGTTATTGTAAATAGTGTCATCTAGTCACGGTTTTTTGAATCCAAATGACTGTCTATATTGTTTTCTTCTATGTTAAATCGTTTCGCTCTTTTTACGTAGTTTGCCTAAACACAATAAGTGCTGATACTTGTTAGTCCAACTTGTTAACCAGCATTTTACGAGTAAACAGACTTTAATAAGTTCAGTTTCAACTCGCTGGAAATCGTTTGAAATTAATGTGGTAAAAATGTAGTTATAAATTAAAGTTTGTTGTGTCTGTCTATGTCAAGAATGATTTAAGGATATTCTCAAGTATTTTGTTTTAAAATTAACAGTTGTTGGAATAAGAAAATTATTTAATAACATTGACTAACATCTCTAGTTTTTCGTTTGCTTGGTTGTCATGGCGTTCTAAGGCTTATTACTTATTAATCTATTTTCAAGATCGTATACCTATACGTTCTCGGTTAAATATATTTTTTTTAGAATCTTATAAAAGATATTTTTGGAGTGGAGAGGAATCGAAAGGTTTTTAATACTATTTCAAGTCATGAAGAAAACTGCATAATCTAATCAAAATTTACTGATAAAATAAGATATAAAGTGGGATAAAATTGGAGATTTAAACATCGACCGTTCCGTTCCGACACTTCAGTAACTAGTGCCGTAGTTAGTACCTAACAACTATCATGTTAATTTCTTTGAATAAAGTATTATTTTTGGTTTCATCTGCGATATCGTTTTCAATAGAAAAGTAAGTCCGTATTTTATTAATCGACGGAATGCCTTGTTGATATGTAGTGGCCACTCGACTGATCACGATCTGCTGGGTTATAATCGCTGGTGGGGGGAAATGTTAGTTCTGTATTTCGATGTTTCTGGTATTAGCATGAATTTTGGAAGTAAGAGGTGCTTTAATGGATTACGTTGTCGCTAATTAAGTGAGGGTAGTTGATACTTTCGTCTGAGTGAGGAGTCTTTAATGATCTGCTTTGATAAAGGAGATTTAAACGTTGGATATACAAAATGAAGAATATTCTATTACAGCATCCATAAAGCTACTATGTTAAATGTGTCAATAGCTAATATATGTACATTTTTAAATTTTATACTATTAGAAAATAGTCTGTTAAATTCGATTTATTGTGTGGCTAATTTTAATTTCAGAGATACAATTATGGATAAATGGTACTTGGTAATCGACAATGACGCAGGTGGAGACGACGCCTTGGGTATTTTTTTGGCTGTATTATTCGAAAAGCATTATAACGGGTAAGTACAAATATTTTAAGTGTTAGATACTAGTTTCTGCATACAATAACCATAATAGATATTGCGACAAAATGCGTTGTCAATCTATTTTGACTTTGAAAATTGTTTTTTAAATGATAGACATGGCATGGGATTCTCTTGATGACCTATTTCGTCTTCGGATATTCGGAAACCTACAAATCGAAACCCAAACGCGATTAAAGTTCACGGCTGTTCCACCTGGCAATGTTGGATCGTGACGTGGACGGTATTTTGGATATTCCAACCACCCATTTAATATAGAGATTTTCAGATAAAGTCCAACATGTCTCAGAAAGCATTTAATTGATTAGATGAGTTTTATTTCCCTCGATAGACCACAACTGATTGGACTGACCACAGTACATGGCAACGCTGAAGAAGAGAACGTGTACATAAACAATCAAAGAGTTCTAAAGCTTGCGAAACGACAAGACGTAAGTAAAACATAAGTGAGTCTTAAAATAAATCAATCAATTTAAACCGGTTAAATCGTGACTCAAATTCGATAGTGAAGTGAATTACGACACGACGTGTCTGGTGCTTTACAGCAGTCGTGATCCTAGTTAAAGTGACTTCATAATTGAATTCGCATTTAATCGATTTTAAAATAAACATTATTGTCTGTTCAAAGTTTAAATCGCATTCAACTTTCTACTAGCTTGCATTATTTAGGCCTTTGCCTTGTTATTATTAATTGTCTTTCACTTTCATGATTGAAGGTGCCCATATATAGGGGATCCAATACTTCGATAGTATTCAAACCACCCCCAGCTTTCTATTATGGAGCTGATGGTCTCGGTGAACTTGAGGAAGAGTTAGCCAATTTGGTTCCCGCAAATAAGAAAAATGCTGTGGATGCCCTGCTCGACCTTTCTAGAGAATATAACGGTGAGAATATTAATTTTAATGTAAAAGTCTATTTACATTGAAAAATAAAAGGGATACGAGCGGGTTCCACCCCCGTCAATTTTAATTTACGTAACACCATTATGTGTAATATTTTATTGTATACAAGCTGTGCCCGCGAGTTTGTCCACGTGGAATAGTGACTTGGGGTAGAATTTTTAATTATTTAGGCTTATTAATGTATATAAGGGTGTAGGCAACACTCCGACTTTCACCTCACATCACTCCTTCTCTAACTCCCATTCTAATTCTCACACTCACTCCCACTTCCATTCCTATTCCCAAAAAAGCCAAAGTTTCATTATTCTAGCTTCAAAATCCACTAATTTCCATACAAATTTTCATCTCCATTTCAACCCCTAACAATCCTTTTTTGGCAAAGTAAAGTTGTCTATGTCCTTTCTCAGGCTCTAAAATATCTGTTTACCAAATTTCATTTAAATCAGTTCAGTAGTTTCGGCGTTAAAGCCGGACAGACTGAGTTACTTTCGCATTTATAATATTAGTATAGATACATCTTTATTGACAAAGACCTCTCTTCTCTTCTATTCTATTCTGTCAAGCCAGGTATAGGATACATTGCTTTAATAATATTTAATTTATGTAAAAAAACTGTCGTTACATTTATACTTTGTTAATTTTCCAGGAAAATTAATTGTGGTAACTACAGGACCAGTCACTAACGTTGGATTTGCTGTTAAAAGGGATCCAGATTTTTTATCACGATTGAAGCATTTATATGTGGCGGCCGGTCATATATATAGTAAGTAATTTACGAACATAACGAAATGTAGTGTGTAGAGACCACTCTCGTAAAAAAAGCTGCTTAAATACTAACCTCAGGCTTATTTAAATACTAGGATCAAAATGCCGTAAATTATATTTTTTATCAAATCTTAATTATTTTACTTCGCGTTAGAAAGCGTCAACAACATACCCGCGTCTGGAAATCGGGATATTAAATGGGTGCTCACCAACCACCACCCTCCATTGTAGATGAAAAAGATGTCAAGCTCAATCGTGTTTCAGTCTGTGGAATTCCGATTATCCAATCTATCTTATCGTATCTTGATTGATGTTATATGGCTGGAGTATTTTACCTATTATCAAATGAACCCCAAGCTTCTCTGTCCTCCTCTCTAAAGAAAATCTACTGAACGGAAAGCCTGAAAATGCCAATACAAGGAAATGCGGTCATAATTTTAATCATTCGTAAGTTCACGTAATCTTACTTAACGTGAACTTAGCTGACTTAACACGCAACGTCAAAATCAAGGTCACGCGCAACTGGAACCGCGCTAACGTGTCGTTGACCCCATGTTATTTTCTTGTTTTCTTGTACATTACTTTTATATGTACATTTGTTTTCTATACAATAATCTATAAATAAGCTTCTTCAAATTAAAATTATATTTGAAAAGTAGTAAAAAAATTACTATTTTTTTTTCAAATTTTTACCTAGTAGGTTCGTGGTGTCACTTTTCAGGATTAGTTCAGATATACTTTGTTTATGCATGATTTTATGACGCTGAAAAACAATTATAAACGTCAGGTCGTAGTTTGAAATTAGTCAACTAACGCATTTCGTTTTATGGGCTATTAAAGGTGTTTTAACTTTGGTGGAAATTCAAAGTTTTTAATCTCTAGATTTTTGTCTAAATTTACTAATATACTACTAGCTTAGTTGTAGTTTGTTTGGCGCATAATACTTTTACTCCTTCCAGGTGAAGAATACCCGAAAGGGGAGTTCAACGCGCGCTCTGACGCTGAAGCATATCGCCTAATTACTGAAAACGCTACACCAGATAAAGTTACCGTCTTTCCGTTTTCTCAAGTGAAAACTTCGCTTAATATAAGCAAGGTAAGTTGAGAAATGATATATTACAAAAGCAATAATTTTACTCTTGTTGGATAAACTAGTATGAGGCAGCTCTGTGGTTAAACAAACATTATGCAAGGTCCCAGAGTCAAATCATCAGAGTAAAAGTTGTGTTTAGTTTCAGGGAAGTAGTTTAATAAATGACCTGCCTGTAAGTAAGATTAGTCAGACTGACATAGCAATATTACGTCTGTCCCATGCCCCATAAATTGATTACGGGATTGCTTTTCTTATAACACATGACCGTGTTATAAGAAGTGACATCCCGTTTCCCCTCGTGGGGCATGGGGGCGAACACATTTTTGTGTCCGTTTTACTGATCGGTTTTATTTACAGGCAAGTAGGTGATCAGACCTCTGCTCTGCCCGACCGAAGCAATTCACTGTTTCCCCGGGACTCGAACCCAGGACATCTCGCGCTTAACGCAATGCTAAGCAACATGTTTAACAATTAAGCTACAGAGGCATGAAATTACATATGATGGTCTAATTGTAGCAATGGTATTGGCAATTAGGTAAAAGTGGCTTAATCAACGGGTCATAGCATCGATCCCCGCCGGATGCACATGTTTGTAATTTTTCTGAAACTTCTAGATGTTATATATGGCTAGAAAGAATATAATACATCAAATAGGTCGACCGTACATCTTGTGAATGTTATATGTTATACTTCACCTTCCATCAAGTGAACTATTCTACTATTATAAAAAATGAGAGTAGATTTAATTTTAATATAAGAAATAGCTAATTATATTAAGAATAAATCTGCAATGGCAACATGAAATAGACTTGGACTTTGATTTTTAAATTAATTTCCGTTACATTTCAGGAGTGGCGTGTTAACACCTTCGGAGCCTTGCAGAGCGAGATTGTCAAAGCACAAAATATGTATGAGAGGATATCTTTGACTAAGAACGATCGTTGGCACGCGCTTGACCCCGCCGCTGTAGCTATTGCTCTGAAGCCAGACTTAGTCAGAGAGTATAAATATTCTCAAAACGACATCCTCTTAGAAGGCAAGTTGTGCTTTAATGGGATTTTTTAATGATAGAGTTAGGTGAAATACCGCAGCCATATAACATCTACACATCTGCGCTGTTGTCCTATTGTAGCTTTAAACGGTATAAGAAAATAAATTAATTAATTTAACCCATACTGATATATCCATTTGCCTTTACAGGTGACAAAAGAGGAATCAATAAGAACACATTTGTTGACAAAGATGAAGCTAATGTACGGGTTGTATTTTCAGTAAAGGAAGACGACTACAAAACATTCTTACTCGACTTGTTCTCAAAATAGTTAATTGAAAAGTAAATAAACAGTGTAACTACACATACAGTCCTTTTTTCGTATTGCTAAACGAGACATCTAGCGGCAACTGATATAAACCAGCATTAAACAAAGTTAAACCTCTTGTGTTGCTTTTTTGACCCGTATTTGAACCTCACGTGGTTGTTTAACAAAATACCACTATAATAACTTTATTTATTTCTAAAACAACCCACTTATATCTAAAATGAATACTATAATCTTATTCACAGAATTTCAGCGACAAAAACATTATTCACCAAATTTGTGTGCCAAACGCCATAACACCTCGGTTAAAGTTTTCCAAAATTTAGGTAAATATATACATTTGTAATATCTGAATATGTATTTTTGTACATTAGAACTGAAATGGAAAGCTTCTAAAAAGATATTTCTGATGATATTACACTATTTATATTGAAACCGAAAGCAAAGAATAACTTACCTTTTCATCGTTTCCCTTACAATAAGCTAAAAGCATTATCTACTATTGACCTTTAAAAGTTACGTACAGCAGGTACGAGAGATGATGGAAAGGAAATTGCCACTATGATGTATGATGCCGACACGTGTCGTAAAATTATCAGCATTTTAGTAACTTTGTGTCAGAAAGGACTTCACACTAAAGCATATTGAAGTGGTTACATCATGAAAATATAAATTTTCGAACAAATTATAAGTTTTACTCCGGTTATTTTGTACAGTATACTAGTATAAATCGTAAATAGGCGCTAAATAGAGTTCAGCATTAAAAAAAAAACAGGTTTAGGATTAAGGTAGGTACATACTTTATTGATCATGTTTTTTTCGTAAATTTTATGACAGAGGCAAGCCTAGAAAAACAGAGGATAGGAAATACCCGAATATAATATCATATAAACTACGGAAGCACTAACTATAAATTTTCACGTTATTTTCGTAGACGTAAATATAATATCCCTTCTATCCATTTAATAGACGAAGAACGACAAGTTTCAGAAAATAATATAAATTAATTAGGAACAAATCAAACCAGGTAGGTATCAAACTGACGACCCGTATATAAGAAATACATTGTTACCGAGAACGTTGCAAAATTTAAAAAATATTGATTTTTGAAATTTTAAAGTATCCTATTCTTTAACAGCCACAGAATATAAATTAGTAACTCGAAATTCCGAGCATGCCATATAAGGCAAAAAATAATGTAAAATGAATCAGATATAAATCAGTTTTATGGGTATCGTTAAAAAAGGTTCTGATTAATTGGGGTATGAACAATACTAGAGCAATTTTACAAATGTCACCGCTGAGACCTTGTATAATCTGTGATGTCGTTCGGAATAAAAGTGGGTAGGATACGAAATTACTAATTAAGAGGGTAGTTGCGTTTTTGTGATCCGAGGCCGCGATGTCGTAGCGGTGCTAGCGGGCGCTACGTCCCTTCTAATCTTAGTGTCAGCAGTGTTATTTTTATGATAGATACGTCATATTATATTGGTATGAAAAGTCCTCTCTCGAAGGGTCTTAGTAAAATTAACTATCGACCTATATTCGATATATTTAATGTTTGTGACATGTTTTTAGTGCCTTGTGGTTGTTTGATCTAATAGTGTGAATGCGAATTGGTAAAGACGCGACCTTGATGAGCCATCTTAGGTGCGAGACGTCGGACCAGTTGCCATTTTATGCACTTCTCTTTGTTTTATTGAAATCAATTATTGTAATTATTCATTTAAACGGTTCTAAATAGGGTTGAATATTGTTCATGTGCATCCACTATTTTCATTTATTTAACAGAGCTATCGGTTACTTATTAAATTAGCGCATACAATGTTTAAACCGCTATAAAGTAGGTGTATGATTATTTCGTATTTACAATTTATGCTTTGAGAAATCATTTACACTTGATGATGACGATCTGCGAATACAAACAGAGGTGTCATTATAGAGTAGTTCGATATTTGTCTTTAGGTTTTAAGATTCAAGATTTTTGTAGAATTCTCTCGATCATATTTCTTGCATTTTAACTAGAAACAAGTATTGGTTGTGCATTATGTTCTATATCAGTGATATAATATTATATAAAATGGATTATATTTCAATAATTAATGGTTTTCACAAATGCCTTATTTCGTGTATTTAAGTTGAAATCAAATAGCAGAAAGTAGGAAAGTAAAAATTCACTTAAGAATATAGTATGTACTTTAACCTCGGGGATATTTTTAAATAACAGACATTGTTCATTAAAAAAACGAAATTAAGAAGGCGCCTGAGTCGTATTCGTCGCGGAATCCTGAGTTGAATTGAATTGAAACATGACAAGTTCGTACGTAACGATCGTCCCGGCGACCTAAAAAAAAATAAAAAAGATAATCATTAGTATTTGGGACTGTTTTATCGTTTTGTTAGTGTACTCACAGTCAAAAGTAAACCACGCGTTACGCTGAAGAACTGTAGTCCACTCAAAGCCACCTTGTCACCGTTGACTTGATCCAGAAATCGTTGAACCTATAGATTTTGAAATTTTTAATAACACGAGTCATCCTTACATGCAATTCTTTCCTTAGTTATGTCTTTGTAGAAACACTATACAGCAATGTCACATTTTAAATATTTTTATTGAATCGAAGTAACAGAAGTATGGGCTTTTATTTAAAGCGTATTAAATGAACCACTTTAACGGTTACAAATATGAAAAGTAGGTATGTCAGTAATATTCCGGATGTCTTGCAAGCCGACTGCCGTGGTCACGAGGGCCTAAAGATTAACATAGCAAACTTATACACTTAAAGACACCGTGAGTCAGTTCTGTAAGACCCAGTATCTTAAAAAAGAAACTACGACGAAATCGACCTATAGTACAAAACTAAGATCACTAATATATTTCGCGTTTTAAACCGTTAATAATGTTTTAGTATAACTTTCTTAGCAATTCGTTCATGCTAAATTCGGTTGTATTCCTCACCTCAACGCAATATACTGGCGAAGGTACGTCATACAGAACAGGTGCTGGAGTGTTAGATGCACTATTCACTTGAGAAGCGATTAGAGAAACCGCTACGGACCGTGCTATCAAGTATATCAACGAAAACAGGAAGTATATAGCTGCTTCGTACCCGCCTAATATCGTTTTTGACCTGATGGACAATATTTTTTTTATAATCTTTATTCATAATCTAGCGGTACTAGCGACTTTGTCCGCGTAGAATAGTAATTTTGGGCATCCAAATTCGTTTATGCAAACCCCTTCATCTTTAGAAACTTCCTTCCTCGATAAGCCCAACACAAAAATATTTTTTCAATTCGAACCAGTAGTTCCTGAGGTTAGCGCGTTCAAACAAACAAACAAACTCTTCAGCTTTACTTTATACTAGTATAGATAGACGACGTCGGTCACGCCCCGTCGTTCTTGCTAATTTATCTTAAAAGATAGACAGAGGTGTATACCGCGGACATTTTTAAAAGCAAACACAAAAGCCACAGATCTAAAACACAGTTTACAAATGTATAATGAAGATTCTTACCCTTCTGCGCGGCTGTTACATTCAGACGTGTCTTTGATCCCATGCCTAAAAAGTATGCTATTAATTTATTGTAAAAATAAGTGAAAATATTCAGGTCAAGAGCGAGTGGCACTCATCCTAAAAGGGTTCCACGGATTAGGTAAACAATAACTGGCCCGCAACCTACATAGGTATTTTAACATTCCTTTTTTTTTCAAGTTTACCGCTTACTTATTTATATCAAACAAAATGGCGTTTTTAATGGGATTCTATGATCGTTGATTTTATTTTGTTTCATTTTGTGGAAACCGAGGAACATTTGTCAAAGTTTGCTTTTACAATTGAAATTATAAAAATCTATATGGATTGAAAAAAAATTACGTCACGGGCGGGACTTTCGGCATCCAGAGCGTTCCGTTTTTATTTTTACTATTTCGGTTTACACGCAGGGATGCACAGACTCTTGAAGGCCACTTGGGCAAATCATGGTGGCGGGCTGCCAGAAGTATAGGTAATTAAAGACAATAAAGAACCGATAATAATGAATTAGAATTTAAAAATAACTTATTAATTTGAGTATTATTAGTGCTGTCGGCGAGCCACCAGTATTCGACCGGCAGGCCGCAGTCTGTACATCTTTGGTTTACAGTACTCTAAAATTATACGTCTTGGCCCGTACCAAGTAAATTAGCCTTTATTGCCTCTCAGCGTGTAAATATTTAAGAGATATTCAATGGCGTTAAGTCATTCATGTGTACTCACTCCAAGGTATTGAACAATTGCAAACAGATAAAGAAAAGATTATTTGCAAACGATATGAAAACTATGCCACTGATGACGTCATCGACCTTCCGCACCAATTGGGCAGCTCGGCCATATTCCTCGCGAGTCGTCCGCCAGAATACCTCGGGAAGGTACTGCAATGAAATACAAACTAAAAAATCTAGAAGTTGTGTAACATAGATCCTAGAGCCTATCACTTCCTTTTATACCTACGATAAGTCTAGTCTACCCTAGGAGGTATTGTGTGTAGTTTACACGAATAGAACAATTATAAACGGTTTAAAACGCGAAATATATTAAATAAACAATTTTTTGAGGGCCCGTCGTTTAGGATGCTTTGCAGCAGCCGTGGTTACGGGCAGATTTAAGATCTAGTTAACTTATTTTTAATTTAACTTTAATACGGCCCGACGTTTCGTATACTTTGCAGCAGCGGGGTTCCCCTGTGACCGCGACTACTGTAAAACATCATAACAATAAATACAAGCTAAATAAAAATAAATTCATCGATATATTTTGCGTTTTATACCGTTAAAAATGTATTATTAAAGTTTGTACTATTCATGACAAGTAAGACAATAGACCTCCTAGGTTAGTTTAGACTTTTCGTGAATTTTTCATCAAGCAAAACGGGGATAAGCGCTCTCGCATTACAAAAAATATATATAATTAATATAACATGACTTGTGTCTACTACTTGAGCTCCTTATTATATATCAATATCACGCTCTCTTGTGAGAGAGTGTGAGAGAGATGCATGGTGGGTCAATAGCCCACCATGCATCCCAAGATTCGAATCCGGAACAGTCGAGTGAAATAAACATTAGAGCTTTGAGTTAAGAGGCTATATAATGTTATCTTATTCCGGAAAACACGCCATAATTTCCGTAAAGATAAATTTTCTTGTTGATAACCGAGTTTCGAACTCGGCTCTTCGAAAAGTCCCACCAGACCCAGGCGATTACCAACTACAATCTACGTTATATCAATGTCTTAACGGAATCCATTAAGCCTCACCTTCCCTTGGGCTGCGAGCAATTTCATATTAACATGCTCCAAGCGTGACGTCAAGTAATAACTCATGCATATAACGAATAAGTCAGAGAAGTTCCATATAAACGTCGACTGGAAGTGGAGGAACTGAAATCGAAAGGCTTTTTAAATTCAAATTTAAATTCGTTTTTCTACGCGTGCAAAATTATACAATAAAAAAATGCCTAAATAACTTCAAGAGTTTAAAACGCGATATATATTAGTTAAACTTATTTGAGAATTATTTTAACTACGGCCCCACGTTTCGGATACTTTGCAGCAGCCGTGGTCACGGGGAGAATAAAGATGGAGGGTATCTCTGATGTCAATTAAAAACTGCTACGATAGCGCCATCTGTTCCGTCGAAGTTGCTATTTGCGACCAACAAACCGTTAAAGTGTTTTATTTAAATCTGTACTACTCGCGTAAACTACAGAGAGTATTTCTTAAATTACTTACAAATAACACACAATTAAAGAAAAATAACACAATTACTTGGAGAGACGTTGCACCAACAGCTGAGTGATGACTCAGCTGTTGGTGCAACGTCGATTTTTATTGATTTACACTTGGAGCGACAGCCAAATTAAATGTCTACAGTTAATAATTAGAAAAGTTAATTAAAAATTTAAAAGAACCAACTTTACAAATAAAATTTACACTTTTACATAAAAATTAACATATTTTTTTTATTTTCTCATCTTCTCAAACCTGGCTTCTGGCTACTTCGTGATTCCCATTAAACCTACTTAGAAACGTGTCACAATAAGCGTTGAAAATAAACAAATAAACGTTGCGTATTAAAGTCTAGAAAAATAAGTTAAAAATGCTTTATTTAACTTCTTTCGCTCATGCTCGCATTCTAGATAAAGAATGATTAACTTCGCCGAAACGGAAGACTGCGGAAGATAATGAAATGCTTGTTTGCACCGGATACCATTCGGACACCGTACAGCATTAATTTTCAAAACTCGAGACTAAATGGAAAAGTGTTTTAAGTTAATAACTTTGCACTATGGTTAACAATATAAATAACTGCACAGAAATTTATCTTATTTCAGTGATTAATTGTAAAACATAAATCATTTTAACGGCTAAAATGCGACATTGATAAGTAAATTTAAATTACTATCAACAATATCTTTGGAGATCCCGTGATCACTAACTTAAAATTGAATTTATTAAAAAATATTTAAAACTCACCATACCCATTTCCATTCCGTTGTTTTTAGGCAATACCCAAACAAACTTCGAAATTGTTTTAGCTGAGTATAATTAGCAATGAGTAATGCGTAACTATTAGTGCATGACAAAACTTTGTGCAACGTTTCTTTGACGATTATAGAAAGTTAAAGGAAAATCTTTTAAAAATCGTAAATAAATTGAAAAAATTTTCGACTCGGGCAGGACTTGAACCGGCATCGTCAGCGACGAGGTCGTTGGTCTAACGGTAGCAACGTATGGGTAATAATAACGTAAATAGTCAACGGGTTCAACAAACTCTTAATAACTCTACTGACCTGTGTGACGAATCCCAATACCGGTGAATAAGGTAGATAGTTAAAAACCCACGGGTAGAAATGCCTTACGAATCCTTCATATAAACTCGAATCTGGATAACAGACCATGGCACCGGCAAACGCAGACAGTAGTGATAGTATATGTTCCACTGGAAATATATATTTTTATCACTTAACTTAACTATCGAGTTACGCGAGTAATACACTTTTAAATAACACTTTTAACGGGTTTAAACGCGAAATTAGTAAACTTGATTTAATTAATTTAACTACAGGTCATCGTTTCAGAAGCTTTGCAGCAAGCGTATGGTGGGCCTTATAAAAAAAGAAAGTGAAAAGAAGTGAAGTTTACGCGAACAGGACCTATACATTTAAATGAAACATTTTTAACAGTATAGAAGCGATCAAGTGCTTTAATTTACTGTCTCTAGATCATAATTGCATGGGCATTGCATGAATGAAGGTTTAGTCATGCCTTTAGTTCGTCTCTCATTTGAATAATAAATCAAATAAAAACGGACGTTGTAATATATGTATAGTAAAGGTTCGATGTCGACCTATTTAGACCTGTTTCCTTGAATTGCATTATATTTAACTACAATGAAAACGAAAACTTATTTCTAACTTTAGTTCCCTCGTGACCTTGTCTGCTCCAAAACATCATATAAGACGGATCGTTCAAGAATTCAACTTATTTGCTATTAGTGTCTTGAATTGTATGGTCGATGTGGTTGGCAAAGTAAGTCATCGAAAATATTGACTAACGCGATAAGCCTTAAGTAAGTTTGGCGTAAGTAATCTAAACACGCTTACATAATTTCGTCATAAATCTATTTTACTTACACAATGCTAACGTCAGTACAACTGCACAAGTTCCATTACATTTGTACGTCAAGTTGGTATCATAGTTTGGGTCCAGATCCTCAATTTTGAAGGTATACCGGGCGAGGTCAGGCCACTTCCGAGCCACTTGCAGGAACATAATCATAGTTATGCACGTCGTACTGTAGAATATTATTGGGGCTGGAAAAAGAAAAACCATATGATTTATAGTTAATACTGTTCTCTCACAGAAACTATGTTAAGGGAAGCATACGCTAGAACCAAAACTTCAAGGCAGCATAGTAGATTGAGTTCCACTGGTGGGAACTGTTAAAAGATTAATGGATACCCTAGCAAGTAGATGTGTTACTCAGTCTTCAAAATACGAATATTATATAATTAATGAATATATTTTTGTTTATTTTTCTATCACTCTTAAATTTGATTATATTATGGCATGTGTAGCGAAAATAATTAAACGCGTTGCTTTAAGCGCGGAGGTCCTGAGTGCAAATTCCGTTAAAACAATAGATAAACAATCTATCATTTTTCAGTCGGGCAGGGTACATAAAAAAGGCCCGATCAGAACCACTTCTTAAATTATTTATTTTAAACTTCACTTTTCTACCATACCAGGGCTAGGTGGGAACTAGCGCTGCTAAATATGACAAGCGCACCTCAGCACAACTAAACTGGTACCAATAGCTTTTTATTATTTTTTTAATTATTATTTAGTATTGTATTACATAGTCTCCAATTAAGAAATTTGAAGTTTATTCTAAAAAAATTGTAAAAATGGCATTAAAAAGTTTTGAATTAGAATTTAGTCTCACAAAGAAAAATAAACAGATAACATTGAATTCCTCGTACTTGTTCCATTAAGCGTTGTTTCAGAGTGTACTAATTTGTGTATGCACATCACGGTAAGAAATATTTGTCCGAACAGCGATAAAAATAGATATAAGCATTTCCACGAAATCCACTTGAATCTGAAAAAAAAACCATGTGAAACCTTAGTATGTATTTATTATAAGCTAGACGTAAAAATTAAGAATGTTAATTAAAAAAAAGCCATCATTTCTCGTTTCAATGTCCCACGGCTGGGAATATGTCTCCTCTCAAAAGAGACGTTTTGCAGAGGTGAGACCCACCACGCTACTTTTTCTTTTTATTTCGTAGACCAAAGTCTCGTTATTTCAGTCAAATTTTTATTCACCTAACCGGGATCTTTCGTTCCGCGTTGACCACCAGAGATATATTTACAACCAACTACAATTATTATTAGTTAATTTTATTAACAAAATATCTACTTTCTGTAATTACTAGCTGTGCCAGCGACTTCGTCCGCGAGAATCGGTATTTTGGGTATCCAAATTCTTTTTGTAAACCTCTTCATCTTTATAAACTTAAGATGTTACCCACGACGTCGGTCACGCCCTTCCCGTCTTGCTTGCAACTTAATCTTTAAAGATAGACATATAGCGTCGCAGATTTTTTTTAGGTCGTTTGAAGAGGAATCATTCTTTGATACATATTTTATGAGTTTTTTTAACCGTTATATATATAGTATAGATTCTACAAAGAGCAAGAATATTATAAATTCGTTAATATTTTGACTTTGGACATTTAGAAATCTACAGACTGACCGAAAGGCAATTTTTACGTCTTTTTATCATGAAATTCATTTAATATTCAGACTTTGTCATCTAACATCCTTACAAAAATTATAAATATAGTTCTGAAATATATATGCCATACATTGCTACCATTAAACAGTATAAATGTTTAGCAATTCAAAATTCCACCTCACCTGATATCCGAGTTCTTTTTGAAGACGCCGATGACTGGGATCAAAGAAAACGCTTGTCCAATTATCAGGGTAGCTCGCAGGGAGAGGAGAAACGTCGCCGGTACTTTTCGGGGTTTTAATTCCGTCACGTCCACTTTGTTTCCTATTCAAACGTATTTTTTCTTTCATTTGCAAAGTAGGGAATGCTAATTTGAATTTCGAGTGTACGCGACATCTTTACCAATATTACTATTCAAGAGGTGATGAGGTAGACATCCAGTTCAACTCTTGGGTGAAAACCAACATATCATCTGCATATGTGATGAAATAAACTAAGTGGGTAACTCCAGTTTTACGAGTTTTCTAGAACCGAAAATTGGGAGTCATATGTCCCCATTTTAAAGGTGGATACTCCCGTAGCTATTATATATGTTCACTCTTATTCTTTATATAATTTTAATAGCTAGAAATTAACTCACTTTTAATTGGTATCCAATGGACTGTGTTTTTCAGCAGCCCCTTTGCCATCTTTTTCTTATGCTGGTAAATAATTGAATGGTACTTAGTTATAGTTTAATAAAATATACTTCTGAAAAAAGAAATCATATAATTCAATTTATAGTCTTAAAAAGCAAACATGATGAAAGATTTAAATAAAACACTTTGCTTCTCAAAGAGTTCTATTTAATTCGTTCTTCTTTTCAAACACGAAATTTATTAGTTAACTCATTTAGATTTTATTTTAACAGCAGTGTAACAGATTTGACTTTTGAAAACTTTAATATTTTTCACATGTTATTGCACATGAAGGCACTATATAATTTAAAAATCGAAAATAAATTTAAAAATGTTCGACTCCGGCAGGACTTGAACCGGCATCGTCAGCGTTCCGTGCTGTTACTCTACCAATTGTTAAGGTTGAAATTACATTGCGCGAGTGGTGCATGTATCAATAAGTTTAAAAAATTCGACGATGAGCTGTAGGACTCGGTAGCTCAATTGGTAGAGCAATTTATTTTTGATTTTCAAATTATATAAATTTGACTTTGACATTAGGGACAATCCAAATTCAAATCCCTCCACAATCAATCGCCCCGTGTCCATGGCATCTGCTAAGCATCCGAATCGTCGGGCCGTAGTTAAAATAAGTTCTGAATAACTAATACATGTCCCTTTGTAAACCGTTAAAAATGTTTCAATTTAAATGCGTACTACTCGCGTAAACTAAGGACTATAAATAGTCTTATAGACTTAGTTCTCACTAAACAAAAGTTTTTAATATATATTTTCCGTGTCGTGTCTTGTTATTTGTAACGATGATTTAGATAAATGAGTACTGTAATTCATTAATCGTAAAGGCTGTGTTTTGTAAAAGTCGATCGCGCCCAGTACATGGAAATTATAGATGTAGCGACAACTTTGCGTGCACCGTAATTACTACCCTCAAAATTGGCAGATTATAATCTATCGATTTTATTATTTACAGCTTTAAACGTTGTAAATATGCTAGTACCTCAAACCATAGTCGTATTGGGTCTAGGTGGCATGACATAAATTAAAATCCATTCTGAATTCAAAACTTCTATGAGACGTGTGGGACTTGAACCTGCCTTCATCCAGCATAGAGTCGTGGCCAAACTCATCGAATGCCTTCAACCCAGACATTCTTGATACACATGTCTTTCGTTAGCTCAATTGGTTAGGACAGCAGCACAGACCGGTATTAAAACTGGATGCAGTTTTAGGTCCCGCCCGTCTTATCATTTTTCTTTTTTTTATATCTTAATAACTTATTATCAAGACTTCACTGTCTGTCAGTACGTCTGTCACCAGACTATATCTCCAGAACTGCGATAGCTAGCTATTACACTAGAATTTTTACAACTCTTGGTATATCTGCTATAAGATATGCGCTGAGGAAAGTAATGTAATTATTTAGAGAGGATCAATGAAATGAAACCTTTTGAGTGCCAGTCGGAATTGCACTTAGCCAAAGTTTTGATACGGCACCATTTGTTTAGAATTATGAGTTTAAAATCGCTATAGATATAAAAAGCTCATTTTATATGCCAATAATGAAAAGATCGCAGCTGCGTCGGTTAAACACATTTTTCGATTCGTTTTATTCATTTTTATTGCACGGTTGGGTCGTTCCATCGAAAACTAGCAATGGAAAGATCAAATTCATATCATAAAATTTTTACACCAACCTAATAAACCTCGAGCGTTGGGCGAGCTATAAAATTATTCGATAGTGAAATAGTGTAGAGGAAAAGGTGTATCTTAAACTATACCTTAGACTCCTGGATCTAAACTATTGAATACTATAATTTCATAGATAAGACTTTATTTTAATTTGAATAATCACGGGAAAAACAATAGGTTTATGTCCTGTCTAACAAATAGGTACATATTGTAATCTACTATTATGTTATCCTTTTATAAGTAACTGGCTGCGCCAGCGAAAGATATTTTAGGCATCATATTATTTATTTAATGTTAAAAGACAATTTATGTCCCGGACATTACTTTAAACAATTTAAATAAGAATTATTCTTTCATAGATATTTTTTTAAACGTTTTCGACACACACGCAATAGAATCCCTCAAAGATGAATAATTTTCTATTTTTTTCATTTTCCACTAAGTTAATGATTGGGCTTGAATGCTAGAATTTAGAGCTTTACCTATCATTAAGCGACACTTTTCATTTTACTCTATAGTTCGGTGAAAACTATGCATTACACTTGCTATATATTTGTTTTTTACATATTTGGTGTATTTTCGTATGAGTACGAAACTTATGGCAGAAACTACAATATACCAAATGTCGGGAGACGAGACACTATACCACTCCACGAATTGGTGAAGAGGAGGAGGGAAAACGTTTTGAACTATAGACGAACGAAGGACATTCGGCCGGAATCGTACGCTTATGATAAAAGATATGAGGTATAAAATTATTCCCTCAATGCTTTGTTCGCAAATTGCAACCTACAAAAAAAAAACGTCTGTTGTTTACGCGAGTAGTACACACTTAAATAAATCACTTTTAATGGTGTCAAACCAAGTTAAAATAAATTAATTAAGTAATACTCTTCGCTTTTTGAACCGTTAGAAGTGTTTCGTTTATATCAATTCCGCCAAAAACATATAAGCATCTTTAAAGTGCAAAAGGCAGCCTTTTTTATTAAGATATATATATACAGACCATTTATTTAAAACCGGTTATACCGGCTTTTTATTTATTTATTAATTTGATAGATTTACAAAAATATTTTCTGCGTGTATGTCCCTCGCTCGTTAGAGGATTAGTACGTTGGGAGTGCATGTATAAATGTTATTAAGCACTAGAAGTCTAGGATTATTACCGGAATTAACGGTGCATAACGAATTTTGGTAGCCAAATAGAAGTAGTTCAGAAACTACTCTTCAGCTATGAATAATAGCTACTTATGCATTTATAAATGTCTTTTTAAGACGAAAAAATTATATGCCATGATAGAAAAAAAAATTACAATCTTGTAAATCCAATTTAAAGGATGCGCTATGGAGGGAAACGAAAGCCGCGGAAGACAGAGAACGCTTGGACAGACTGCATAGAGAACTGAGATGGCTCACGATTAACAGTAACGAGGTCGGAATTGGATATAAATAACCCCCCCTTTACTTGCTGATAATAAACTACGAGTTGCTTCTGTGAAGTAAAGTTTTCACTTATTAAATAATGTATACTAATACTATAAATTTGATCGTATTGTATTTAAAAAATATTTTTGTGTTGGTTGGACCATTTGTCAAAAAAGGCAAACATCAAACTCATACAAAATATCAAACAGCACTAATAAGAGCGAAGAAACAGAGGGACTTGTGGAAAAAAAGGGGCAAATGTCTTATATTAAGAGGTTCGGTGCATAAGTAAGAAAGAATTATTCTTTTTGGATATATAATCTCTCTTCTCTCTCTCTCTCTCTGTCATCTTTTAAGAGTATCATCCAAGAACTGTTTTATATTCAACAAACTTTATAGGGAAAAAACCAAGTTCGATCTGCCGAATTATCTATCACGCATCATCTATTAAGATCTACTTAAGTCGTTTATTTATTATAGTTCTAATTTATACGGTTATTAAATAGTCTAGGCATACAAATATCGCATCTGTATGTTTAAACGTGCTGCCTAGTAATGTGTTAAACGCGAAATGTCCTAGATTTAATTCCCGGAAAAAAATAGCTTAAATTTACATATTCGGTTCGGTAGACTACCGTTAGAAGAATCTATTATAAAAACACATAAAGATGTTGGCCCACACTCTGCGATAGAGACGGGTTTTCAATTTTTTTTCGGTATACAAAATAAAACTCTATGTATAAAAAAACAGTTGTGACAAAAACTTAAGATATATAAGGACTCATGCATATATCACACGCACATTTGTAAGGTGTAAAGAGCTTAAGAAGTAGCAAAAAAAACAGGGTGTTTTTGATTTGGCATATAATTTTTCTTGTTCTTTACAATTCCTTACTGTTGCTTATATATATTAGGTTAGACGAAAGAGCTATAATATTCAAAAATCATAGCTTTCTCATGTTGACTTTTGAGAAACCACGAGAAAGTGCGCCTGTTTGGCTGGTCAAAAAAGACTATTGAATTGGCAAAATAAAAATATTTTAGCCAAAATAAACAGACACCCGATCCGTTAGCTGGATCTGTTTGCACAGACAATAATGGCCGTCTCTAATTTATGCTTGCTTAGTTCTTCTCAAAAACAAAATATACGAGCGAGTAATAAAATGTTCCACTTAATATCTAACGACATAAATAACAGAGCTTTTAACTACGCTGGCCAATTCAATTAATATATTATTTAGATTAAATTGAAATCCCGTTTTCCCCTCGTGGGGCGTTGGGCGAACACATTTTTGTGTCCGTTTCACTGATCCGTTCTTTAAGAGGCAAGTAGTCGATCAGCCCGCCCGACCGAAATATTTATTAGTTTCCCTGGGATTCGAACCCAGGACCTCTCGCCACCAACCATTTGGCTTGAACCATTTGGCTACAGAGGCGGTCATTATTTGGATTCATTTAGTACACTTCTGGAAAAAATAAATGTAATTACAATAAAATAAATAATATAAAAAGATTTGGTTTAATTTGAAGAAAAAAAAAGTTAATTTGAGTTGCAGCACAGTTATGCTACAATACTGATTTTCAGCGAAACCCTACTGTTCCCTTGTAGGCTGTAAGACAGAGTTCTTACCACCGTTTGATTTTGAATAACAGTGACTAAGCGAGAACCATTTGTAAATCAAGTATTCGGGAACTAATGCAATTAATTATTGGCGTAAATAGGAGAGTGAAATTTTTGCGCCTAGCGACGAATTATGATGGTATGCAAGTAGCAGACATATTACATGAACCCATTTTTAACGGTTTAAACATAATAGGAATACAGCGCCATCGGACTGGATCGTAGTTAAAATTAAATTTCAATCTCGGGTTTAAGACTCAGTGTAAGGTAAATTTACTTAACTATTATAGTTTGTGTTTAAAATCATAACAAGAATAAACATAAACAAAACTTTAAAGTCAAAACTCAAATCTGTGACTGTCTGTAGTTGTCTGTATCTGTCTATAGCTTATGAACGACCTATTGGTATGAAATCATTTAAAATTCAAAATCATAGTTATCTACATACAATAAGAAACGCTTTCCACTTAAAATATGTGGTCATACATAATTACACATCAAAGGGAAAATTAATTGAAAATTCTAGTGCCCAATTAATTATTTTAATTAAGCAATGTTCGTGTAATTAGTGAGCCTGTAAGGAATTACACACCTGTATTACAATACACCTCAAAATCGTTCACAGACCCAAGGCTTTGTACTTGAATTATTATTATTTAGCTTAACCTCTAAATATAATATTTTTCTTTCAAAATCAATTCGATATGTGACTGGAAAAATTCAAATAAGTTTAACTCATATATATGGCGTTTTAAACCATTAAAGTGTTTTATTTAAATGTGTTCTCTCGTAACCTTAATACAGTTATTGATTTTAAAAAATCTTAATTATATAATAAACTTACTTTATATTATCTCCAATTGCTTATTCTAATATACATAATAGCTTTAGACAATCAGTATGTCACTGTATACAATCGTTAGCTGTATAAACACCAAAGGTAGAATTAAGAGTTGGATAAACATCTGATGCCACTGAGCTGACAAAACTAACAACTACGAACGTTAGTGCTTCGTAAAAAAACACTCAGTTGTGGGTCGAACATAAACACTTGCGAGCCTAACAGTCACTATCACTTACAGGGCGCAAACTTTTAATGTCCACATACATAAGGACTAGGACATTACTTATTGAGAAAAATTAGAATTTTTTGTGCTATCCTGTGTTGTAGACAAAAAAACGTATTTTGTGCATTTGTTTCCGAATAATGACGTTATAAAAATTTTCCCTCTACATATACATATAGCTAGAGCAGGAGAATATTATTTTTCTCTTAAAGCAGATTTAAGTATAAAATTTAACGTGTCTAAATCATGTTAAGACGTTACGTTGCTTATAATTGCTATTTCGTAACTTATTATATATTTTGAAGCTCAAAATATGGGATCGTTTTAAAAAAAAAATTGGTTCATGTACCAACAGTAAACTTATATAATATGATCACTTTGCTCCTTTGAAAATAAAAATGTTTTGAAAACAAATCGCCGAAATTACAACGTATGGACTTGGATATTTTTCATATTATTTTCAATTATTTTGTATTCATTTATTAAACGAAACCTTTACCATTATTTCATTTTTAATACTAAGCACGACTTTATGAGAAAAGTGTCATGTGACTTGGAATTGCTTTGTGAATCACTAACGCGAATATTAAACGATAAGCGTTTTAATAAATGTTTATTGGCTTATAAATTTTAATGAACCCCGATATACACATGCTTAGTTATGAATAAATAAAGGCAAACCATATAGTACTATCACAATAAAAATGTATATGATAAGACTTGGTGGCTCAAGCATCCGAAACGTCGGGCCGAAGTTAAAAATAAGTTTAACTAATATATATAGCGTTTTAAACCGTAAAAAGGTTTTATTTAAATGTGTATTACTCGCGTTAACTACAGACAGTACTAGATGAATATTTAAAAGTTTAAAAAATACACTTGCGGCCTTGAAACGCTCGACAGAAGAGGTAGCTTAATCTAACTTGAATTGTATTGATAGACTAAATGCTTCGTAACGCGTTATGTAACACAAGATTGGTATAATGAAACAAAATTATAATGATAAAGGGTGTATTATAGTTGCTCAACGTTTTGTGCTATACCTACGGTTGAAAAAATTTAACGTGTCGTTAAATTTAATTTCAATTTATATAATGCCAACATGAGAACAGTATTAAAGTTTTGAAATATGTAATTCAAGTGAAGACAACAAATATTAAGGAATAAACAAATGAACATTATAAATATTCGTTATACTCAAGTAAGTCCTTCTACGTAGGTACAGTGTGTGCATTTAATATTTTAAAGTTAATTTCCTGATGCTCCACAACGTAGATCCAGTAAATCTTCCAATTTTGTCCTCAGAAATACCGCAGATGCAAGATCTTGCACGTTCCGTTATACGGATCAGATATTGTTTGTAAACTCCCCTTCGTTTCTTACAATTTATCACGATAATATATTAAAAACGTGCCCTCAGATTAAAAGGAATTCTTAAATTAACTTAACAAAATGGAACAGTTTTAAGTTGCAAAGAAAGCCTTTTGAATCATTTAATAATTTACACTATATAAGAACGGAATTGTAAAATAATTTAATGTGTAATTTTGATCATAAATGTGAGAGTATGCCGAGAATAAAAAACTTTCGATGCTTCACTTTGGACATCTAGTTTTGCTCTGGTAGATTGACAGTTGCATATTGACAAAAATATGTGATTATAAAAATTATGCCGGATAAACACGCACAAGTTATGGTGCTTAACAACATTTGCCTGCTCATGAAGGAGACCTTTCATTGCGCCGCAACATATTAATATTAATAAAGTTTTATATTAAACACTTTTAACGGTTTAACGCGCGATATGTGTTAGTTAACTTATTTTTAATTTATTTTAACTATTGCCTAAAATTTCCGATGCTTTGCAGCAGCCATAAGGGGTGACTGAAGATGGAGGGTGTACCTAATGTCGAAACCAAATTGGCTATACCGCCATCTGTTATAAAACTTACTCATTGTTTACATAAATTATTAACTAACATTTCGCGTTTTAAACCGTCGAATGCGGTTTATTTAAATGTGTACCATACAGACAATTTATGAAATTGTATCTATCAATTTACACCCGCGCTTCGGCATAAAACTTTAATAACACGAAAACACGTAAAAGCTATTTCAGGAACAACTTCACAAATTATCAGCTATCAAAATGTCATAAAGTAGTGTAACTTTGATGGATCACGACGAAGGAAAGGAAATGTCAAAGATTGGTTTTAGAGGAATATGTTATAGAATAGCTAATACTAGTGAACGCTTCTAATTATCTAATAAGTACAAATAAGTTTAGTTTTTTTTTTCATTATTTTCAATTTATATAATTTTTTACTTTCTAACAAGAAAAGAATCAACAAATTCTTTTTTTACAAGTTACCCGAGTACCTACATAATAATTGATTTGTCAGTATTGCATATAAATCAAATTGCAACCCTCATTTTTGAAGTTGGTAAAAAATAATTATTAAATCATTTAAAATTGAAAGTAAAACATTTTTTTTATTTATTTAAGCATTTTTAACACCAATTATATATGTGTTTTTATAATAGGTAGTAGGTTACATATCTGACATTACATATATACTCTGCATTATCTTCTCTCTTAAAATTAAAGTTAAAAATATTTTACTCAAAGTGTACTCGACTACAGACAATCTGTACTAATATTATAAAGCGTAAAGAGTTTGTTTGTTTGTTGTTGTTTAAACGCGCTATTCTCAAGAATTACTGACTTGAATTGAAAAAATTGTTGTAATAGAATTTTTTGTTTGATTTTTTGTAAGATCATTTATCGAGGAAGGCTTTAGACTATAAAACATCAAATTTCGACAAATATGAGAGAATATTACTCTTTGCGAGCTTCTGTTGCGTATCTATGACCGAATTATTCTTCTTTATATGATATAAAAAATATCCGCGAAAACATTGTCTCTCTTTTAAGATTAACTCACTAAAATCATTTTCATGGTTATCAGATTTGGTCGTTTGTTGTCAAAAAAACCAGGTCGGCTAGTACTTAGTATAATTTGTGTTTCGGAGCTGCTGGGTTGATACCAAACTGGAGCAGAACCAATTCGTACGTAACTATCGTACCTGCAATCTGTGGACAAACTTAATATATATAAGAACTTTTTTATGACAGCGGAGAAAGTATGGGGTTCAAATGATGGAAGGTGTAATTCCCCAGATATATAATATGAGGCCGCTAGAGACAGAGTAGCCTAACGGCAATTTTATGGCTTGACTTATTTATATTTTTATAGTCTAAAGATGTTAATCTACAAGAGCACAGTGACCGAAAATTGTTAACATAATTCTTACACAAATCGTAGTACAAATTCATTTTCGCCTAAATTAATTGCGCATTTTTATCATCCTCCTTATTGAAAATCATGTTGTTTGTTATTAGGCCACTCTGCCCCTAGTAGCCTCATATATCAACAAGATGCACTAACGCTACACTACACTACCTATATTGGCCTTAAATAATCGGTATTCCACCGACTGCAACCGAAACGTGAATAAACTTCGCGGCTTTTTTTCTGTCGACGGTGGTTCGTGTCCCGGATGAAATTTTAATATTCCTACATTAAATATGATCTAGAAAAAGAATAAATAGTTTTTTTAGTAATGCTCGACCTGATATCGTACGTACGGTTCGTTGATTTAAATTTAAAATCCGTAAAAATTTTGAAAACTTCAATTAAGTAACATAAGACTGAAATTCAATTCTTACTGTGAGAACTAATCCACGTTTTATTTGGAAGAAGCGGAGACCACTCAATGCGACGGATTCTCCATGGATTTGATCAAGGAATCTTTGCACCTGAAACGCAATCAAGCACCATTTCAGGGTATTTTATTCAGGCTCGATTTCATAAAAGCTATTTTTGTATTTTTTTAAATGAATTTATAAGAAATTTTTATGTAGAACAATTTAGATAAATAAAATGACACGGCCTTCAAACCTAAGCTACATTTCGTCAAGTCAAAAGCAGTTATTTACGTAGGTTACTAAATACATTTATAACGTCACACAAGGTGAAAACTAAAGACTCAAAATTTTTATTTACTACGAGAAGTTTAATCTAGTCACCCTTTAAAAAATAACGGACACTAAAATGTGTCTATCCCAATTATACTTATAGGGTTAGGTTTTTTTATTTCTGATTACATTTTATATAATTCTGTCGTCACATAGTTTGTTTTAACTATGACGTCACACGACTTATAACTACTCTTGTGACGTAATTATCGCATTATCAACTTTACCTCTATTGAATACATAGCTGGTGGAATTTCGTACAATGCAAATGCGGGCTCCTTGCTTGTCGAATACACCTTCGCCGCTACCAGGGACACAGCTAGTGATCTCATAACGAGAAACATAAAAGAATACATGAAGTACACTGCTTGTTCGTAGCCCTTTAACGGTCTGGAATTTAAACATTTGCCACAATGTATATTAAACTGAGGCGATCGAGTTGAATTGACAGAATAAGCTTCTCTCACCTCTCATCTGCACCTAAGCTACACGACGGCGAAGCTTTTATGCCGTCTCTGTAAGTATTTAAACAGCAATGAGGAAACGAAGTTTTGTTTGACATATAGTTGCAAATAAAACTCTTTCAACGGTTTAAAACACGAAATATATTAGTTAGCTTCTTTTAAATTAAATTTAACTCGGCTTTTCGGATGCTTTGCAGCAGCCATGGCCGTAACACTGAAGATGGATGGAGTCTCTCATGTCAAAGTTGAAACTGTTACGCTAGCGCCACCTCTTTTGTCGTAGTAGATCTTTGTACTTAGTCCAGTGCTGCTGCAAAGCATTCGAAACGTCGGGCCTAGTTTAAAGGACTGGGTACGCAAGTCTGTTCGACTAATTGCTTTTGAATAATATCGATCAATGACACGGACACTGATGTGTTAGGTCCTATGGCCCACAGGGTAAAACGGGTTTTCAATTGGGTTATATTTTATTCGGGTGTGACACACAATAATCCTAAAAGTAAGTGACTCAATAATACTCACGCAAGTGTGTTTAGTAACTGCAGACATATAAAAAATAAATTATTCGCAAAGGATATAAAGATAATTCCTCCGATAACATCGTCTAAGCGCCGCACTAAATTTGTAGCCCTATTGTATTCTTCTCTTATATTTCGCCAAAAGTTTGCTGGTACAGTCTAAGAAACAATCACGAATTATACGCAATACATACTTGGTCAACTTCTTTCGAAATTATAAATAAATTAAAAAGTTAAAGCCTCTTACTTAAATGTGTATTACTCGCGTAAACAACAGACTGTATTTACTCAATGATCTTCTTATTCTTCTTCTTACTTTCTTGGCTTTCCCATTCAAATACATCAAGAAACATTTATTCACGTAAATAACTAGGTATACGTATGAACATCAATCCAATGTAACTCTTAAAAGTTCTCAAATCAAGGGCGCAAACTAAAAGAAGAACCGGCAAGGAACCCTCGCCTTTACTGTCTTGTAATTTTTATACTACATACTTTAAATATCCTACATAGTATTACTTCATGGACCAGAACCTTTTATCATTTGAATATTGTTATACGTCACACCTGTTTCCGATGTAAAATAAAAACTAAATCTAAATATGTTAATATAGTTAGAGGAAAAAAAAATCGAATTTCTATCCAACCGCGTGCATATAATTCAGTTGAACGGTTTCAACGATTCAAATGGCGTTATGCAAAACTGATACAATTATTTTTTGGATGCGTGAAAAACAAGTTATATACGGATGGAATTTTAAATTTTTAGCGACGCAATTTCATAATTTTCAATGTTATAGTTTAGAATTCAATTAATTTTAATGTAGGTTGAAAAGTTAAAAGAGATTCAACACACTGGCCTTAATAGAACCGTGTTTGTTTTTTAATTTTAGATCAAGACAGACAAGCATGCAGTTGACTTGATGGGAAATGAAATGACCAAACCATATAACATCTAAACGGCATTCGCTGTCAGTATATTTGGATTTGGGATATTCGGAAATCCGCAAAATGGAACCGGAACGCGAGTAAATTTACAGTTTTTTTATTTGTGAACGACGGTTCGTAAACCAAACGGAATTGTGATATTTCTACGACACATTAAATATCAAAATTATCAAACGAAGTCCAACATATTTTTTTTAAAGATACGATATAGAAATCAATTTTTAGAAATATTTTGGACATGGATCAAACTGGCGACCCGTTGATTTCTACCATGACACCAATGAGCTTATCAAAACTGTACGAACTTTACTAATTTATTGACTGGCTTACTAGTCGCTACATTATTGTACAAAATCTAGACAATGAGAGTTTGCCTGGAACTGCACATAATCTTAAAACACTAAGCTGTATCATTTTCAAGTAAAATTAATGAAATGAATTCTTACCTTTCCTTTAACAGCCAAAATTTTTCTATTCACTTGTTCCAATCGAGAGGTCAAGTAAATACTGACACAAATAACAAACAAATTTGCAAAGTTCCAACTAAACGTACACTGTATGTTAATAAACTGAAATTGTATAGAAATATATATAAATAATTACGTTATCAGCTACTTTAGCATTTGAAAATATTACTATTTTTCACATGCTCATGATGGCATTATAAACATTTAAAAACTTGACACGAGTGGGACTTGAATCGGCGCCCGCCGATGCCGATTAAAATCTTGTCCAAGTTGTAATTGTTTTTAAGACTAAATACTTTTTTAACTTACTTCGTAATTTAAGTCGTAAAAATGATTTCCAATACTACTTTTGTGTTATTAAAAAATATAATATTTACCTGTACAACAAGGCCCAAAGTATTATTATAATCCAAAACGGTAAAAATCCATGGAAAACTGTGCAAAATAAACGCCCCGTAAGTGTCAAACTTTGGTTTCGGACAGTCAATTACGTATATTATTTTTGATAAATCAGCCAGAACATGTTCAACTAGAAAAATATTTAATTATAAGTTTTTTTTTTCATTATAAAATAATTACTTAGGAATTTTTAAGTTTATGTTATTATCTAAAAGAAAATAGAATTGCGTCCTTCTACGAAAACGTGCTACGCGTAATATAATATATTTGTAGCACCCACAGCTACGAAATTGAAAGTTACGATGAAAGTCAGCGTCTTAACTAATGTTACAGTTATTAAGAATTATTATGTAAAATAACAATAATGCATATAAAGTTACAATAATTCCAAATTGAACATAAAAATCGGCTTTAAACTAGTATGATTAATATTTTTGTACTTCTTAATAACGCAAGTAATTTTTATAAAAAGTAAAGATGTAAAAAAATTTCAGCATCTATTCAATTTTCAATGTAGACTTAAAAGTAAGTTAAATATAATTATTTACCCAGAGCTAGTGCCAATACTAGAATACAGGATAAATTGCATTTAACGATGAAGGCTCCATTTATATTCGGATTAATTGTTTCGACTTTTGCAATATATTTACATAATTTGGGCCACTTCATAGCCGCGCGGAAGAAAAAAATTGTTGTTATGCAATTTGAACTACTGAAGATCAAAGGTGCTGAAAACATGCATAATAAAGTTTTCAACTTTGTCATATTTATTAGATTGTGTTATATAAATAAAAAAGTAAATTTCGTTGCCTCTATGTGGGACATGGGGCAGATAATTACTGCGTTCATTGGACTGATTGAAGATATAAATTTATAATAATTTATATTCGATGCTTCCCTTGGATTGAAACCTAGAATTTTGTGCTTTTGATTACCAGCGCAAGGTATATGTTATTTCTTCATTAGTTCTTTATTGTAATTACTTACTAATTGAATGAAGTGATGTGTCAGAATAAGTGAAAACATACAAGAAACACACAAAAAATACAGCACTCTGCCCAATAATCGTCAGAATGCTGTAGATACAGCGAACAGAAAGAAGTTTAAATCTGAAATGGTAATTGATTAATTATTTTACATAAGTTAAACAAAATTGAAAATTATCTTAAGGAATACGCCCCACAAGCGTGACTTTAGTTTTTTAACTTTACAGACAAACATATAAAAAAATATAATATAAAATTTGTATAGTTGGTCGAATGGTAGCAATGTATGGCTAATGATCAACGGGTCGTAGGTTGGATGCCCACCAGGTCCATTGTGTTTCTAATTTTTCGATTTATATATTTTTTTGAACATAATGGACATGATGGATCGTCTGGAAATCTGAATATTAAATAAATAAATTCCGTCTGGGTCACGAACCACCGTCCACAGATGAAAAAGCCGTGAAGTTTAAACGCGTTTGGGTTTCAGTCTGTGGATTTCCGAATATCCAAAGCCAAAATAGTTCGACAGCGCATCTTAGTCAGATACCCTGGGGTGATGATATTCTACTACAAGTATCCCCATGCTATGTCTGTCTTTCTCTATCATTTAAATAATATATAAATTCCTTAAATGATTACCTTAAATGAGATACATCCATACTGTTTATTCCAACGACGGGATTCAAACCGAAAAACTGTCCTATTAATATCGTCAAATTCATTGCCCTCTGAAAAGTTAGTCGCTTTTCTCTTGTTTTGTGCATGACTTTACACTTTCACAAACAACTGATAATATAGTAATAGCTATGTAAAATAAACTTTATAAGGCTTTCGGAAAAAATTGCAAAGCCCCATAAGTTCCCGAGGTGGTCGGCCGTCGTGGTCGACAACCTTTCGGCATATACCTTTCGCGTTGGTGAAATGTCGAAAGCTATATCTCACATACGACAAACAGTTAAGACCCCAAATAGCTTATTGATATATAGCTAATACTATTAGAGGGTCACTCAGTACATTCAAACCAAATATTCGTAATTTTCGTGACCTATCCAAATACGTCGACAATAATTGTTATCATTCTGAAATTAATTGCAACGTGCATAAACAATACGAGTAAAGTGCATTATTAAAAGATACAATCGGCGATTTCAAATTTTCACTATCGATAAATTAAATCGGTGGATTGTAATTAATAAGTAATTGAAGGTTATTTATTAATTAATTAAACTGATTTTGGTCTTTTTTTCGACTCTGATGTTATAGAACAAACACAGGTAGTATTCGAATTTCAAATCGGTACAGACGACTTTGAAAACGTTTAAAAGCGAAATGCTTTTCTTCATAACCCTTGATAACACACAAATCTCGGCTGAAACTCGAGTGAGATTCATTTATCCCGACAATCCCGTTGGAATTAAGTTCCCGAGGCACACCTGTGCACAACTTGGAACTTATCGCATGAAACCTTATATCAAACTTGAGTGATAATACTTGTTGAAGATTTGTTTACTGCATATGTTATTATGAGCGTGTTCACACTGTTGCCAAAGCTATCTGGCATTTAAAATGTTGCTAATACTTAATCACGGAATGAAACCACCTTTTATGCAACTAGCTGTAGCGGCGACTTCGTCCACATAGAAAAGTTAATTTGGTTTTTCCAACCTCCTCATTTTTATAAATTCAAGCTGTTACCTGCATCATCTTCCCAGTGTTCCTGGGAGGTAATTTTAAACTATAGACCTTTAATCGATCATTTAAAAGGAATCTTTCTTTCATTTATATTTTTCTGCTATTTTAAACTGTTTCTATAACTGAAACCCACAAAGGTGAACAATTTTCCACGTTCTTGAACACTTCTCTCGGTTTGTTTGCTCCTTTTTTTCGAAAATATATGTTTATTATGTTATCAGAAGTTTTATTTCGTCGTTTAGCTTTTATACGTCCTACAAAAGTACGGTTGTTTGTTTTGCTCTAACTGTAGAGTAGTGTTTCTAATAGGTATAGTGCAAAGATACATGTTGATGTTAATTTAAATTATTATAATTTTCCACACCTTGTGTTCAAGCCTTTAGAATTTGTGCTAAATTCAAGACTAGAATGTTTTCGTAGTCGGTCTGTTTTGACTTGATACATCGGAATATCGAATGAACTAAAACATCGCCGTGTTTTGACAGTCAATAAAGATTTCAACTCTAATAATTGTGAAGAATATTTAATATGTAAGATGGCTGTAATTTGCAAAGTTTATAATTTTAATCTTAATGCTTCACATAAATTAAAAAAGCTATTAACTTTGAAAGTTAGGCGAACCAACATCCATTGCGCCCCGTGCTGTTGCTCTAACGCATTGAGTTGCCTCTCGCTACGCCGAATTTCTTAGACCCATATTTATTTGCAACTCTCGCGCCACGTAATTTAACCTTAAAACTTTCGTATTGAGATATCCTAAGCTTTATGCGTCCGTTTTGCTATAGTTTTTATTTAAAGGATCAGACTTCTGTGCTCGAACGAAATACTTTCCCCCGGAATTCAAACCCAGAATCTTTTCTCTTCATCCCAACGCTATGCAACACGTTTAACTATTGATTTAGGAGTTAGTAGTAATAAATAATTCGTTATATATATTTTACATGTATTCATATTTATATAATAACTTATTTATACGTTGTTTTGCCATTAATCATATAGCGTGTGAACTTATAAAATATACCTCCGTCTACTTCTGTATATCACTTTTCTCTCTATTTATTTAGTACAGGAAATATTTATTACTTTGCTCATTAAAAGTGTCAGATAGTAAAAAAGGTAATGATATTGAAAAAAATCGACGATGACGTGTAGGACACGATACCTTAATTGTTTAAAGCAACAGAACGGAACGCTGTGACACCGGTTCAAGATCTGCCTGTGTCATAATTTAAAAAAATCTATAATCGATTTTTAATTTAAAGGTACTGATGTTATAATTGCTCTTTAACATGCATATATAAATAAAGCACTCTTAACGGTTTTAAACGCGAAATATATTAGTTTATTTGTTTTATTTAACTGTTAATAAATAATATGTTTTTAATTTCACTTTACATTTGCGGGAAGCCGAAACGTCGGGTCAGGTTAATTAAATAAAAAATAGCATATAATATTTCACCTTTTTTACCGTTAAAATTATTTTAACCAAAGTGTACAATTGATGTAAACTACAGACAATGCTTAAGACCAACATTGGATTCAATATTTTTCGATGTATGACAATTGTAGAACTAGTAGTTCGTATGTTATTATCGTCGATATAAACTGAAACAAATTTGTTGAAGTAATTAAATTTGCGTAATAAAACATTCAAAGGCGGAATGAATGAAAAAATACCGTCAGTAGGGTTCCGTTCGTTATATAGAAGCATTTTAATCCACTTAGACCAATTTTCGAATGAAAAACTTGATCCATAAAACGTTGCACCTGAAAAAGGAATGTTCGTAACTGCACAGTATTTTTATCTCTTTCATGGAAAGAGTAAAAGTGACGAATATTATACAGACATATTTTTTTATTATTTATTCAGTACATGGCAATATTGGGGAATATATATTAATATTTAGATTTAACATTAAAGACACATAAAGTAAATTTATATATGAAACGCAAGTCACGTCTTATAATCATTAACTCCTGTAAATAAAAGTAACACCCCGTGTTGGGAGTGGAGTGAACACATTTCTGTGTCCGTTTTGTCCGTTTTGCTTATCGCAATACTAGGTAAGGAGTTTAACTACAATTTTTTTTGAAGGGTGACTTGTCGAGGAGGTTGGCATGATGTTAGCAGTAATCAATGGATCGTCGGTTCTCTTCCCACCGTTTACAACATATTTCATCTGTAATTCCGTCCTGGGAACGAATCACCGTCCATAGATAAAAAAGTCGTCTAGTTCAGTCGTGCTTCAATTTCAATCTATGGAATTCCGAGTATCAATCAAATAGGCCGACAGCGCATCTTGTTAAGTTATATCACAGGGGTATTTTACCTATCATCAAGTGAACTGCATTCTTGTCTGTCCTCGTTTGTCATAAAATAAAGATTATAATCACCTCAATACTATATGCTCTAGAATCTAGTTCATATAGAGCTTGGAGTGGTTCACGACTCAGGTTATGAAGCCAACCAAGAACACCTATAGTTAAAATGGACTTGGACATTAAGAAGAGTAGACTATAGTATCTAAATTCCGTATAAAATTCTCTATCTGCATCTCTGTAACATAGAATATTAAATTAAACGAAACACTTTAAACGGCTAGAAACGTGAAACATATTTAAAGTTTTTAATATTTTTCACATGTATTATGTAAAATATCGAATTTAGATTAAAAACAAAACTTATGACAAGGGCGGGCCTTGAATTAGCATACACAGTTTTTCGGCCTGTAACCAATTGACATGATAGCTCAAATTTTAATTTACGCGAAATATATGTTTTTAAATACGACTTGAACTTTACTATGACCAATATTTTTGGGAAGCTAAAGTATCAGAAACATTGTCGTAATATATATCACGTTTTAAACTGTTGAAAGTGTTCTTTCATTCCATCACGTCACATTACTTACGTAGACTACGGGTTATTTCTACTGTTGGCATCACATTTTTTTATTCTTATATATAAGTCATACACATTCCTTTAAGATACATATAAAACTTCCAAAACTGGCCAAAACTTCTTAATATTATATAGCTAATTATTATTTTTTAGTTTGATACAGGTACCTCAAAATGATAAAAATAACATTGCAGTTTTGTAAAAGGTTTTCCAAAAGAGACGCAAATATAACGGGGTTTAAAAAATTGTCCATTTTCTTTGTTAGGTCACACAAACGAGTGTATTGCATTTGTATGTGTGCCCAATGTATTTTGCTTCCACGCTGAAATATATAAATATCACACATAGTGCTTATTCTCTTAATAAAAATAATATTTATAAAAAAAATCACAAGAATATTTCAAACGTCTTACCCTATTTTGCTTTTGTCGTAAATTGTTGTTAAACGTGCGAAAATGTTGTGCCAAATACAACGCGTGCGCAGCGATAAAGAAATCAATATAGGAGATCAAAAACGTCTGTTGTAGCAATGCGAACTGTAAAACGTACAGGATTAAAAACCTTTTATTTTTGTTGAATGTTAAGTTAAAATTCTATTTAGATAATTATTTTCTGTGAATTTGATGTACTTATTTAAATTGAAAAAAAATTATAGGACTGACGGGACTGGAACCGACATCTATTAAGTAGCACACTAAACTATGATGTAAATTGAAATATCATACTTTAATTAAATTATAGGCTTAAAATTACATGACTAGAATTAGTAACTTGTAAAACATGAGCCACTCAGAAAAACTTTACAAACACGGTTGTGTTGTAACACTTGTTTCAGCAGCCGTGGTCACGAGGGACACACAACAATAAATTAACTATACATTTCGCGTTTCAAACCGGTTAATTGTTTTATGTATACAAATAAAGTATAGTGTGTAGTTTATTAGTACACATTTAAATAGAATATTTTAAATGAAAAAAAAATAACAATTTCAGAAATAAGTTTTTTGTTCATATCCTTCAAACGTGTACTACTCGCGTAAACTACAGACAATACTATTCCTAAGACCAGTAGATCTAACTAGGTATTTCTCAGATCGCATATGTAACCATAAATCTAGCATTCTGCGAGTGAAACGAACAATCTATACTTTTCAATCTTAGCATCGCAGTGTTCACGATTTTCTTTTACTTAGTTTGATTTCTTACCTAGATATACTTTTATATAGAAATAATGGTTGGTTTAATGGTAGCAATGTATGAGCTAATTATCAACGGGTCGTGGGTTCGGCCCTCATGTTTCTATGTCCTGGCTCCAACTTAATTCTAATCAATAAATTATTTTTCTGAAACGTGTTGGACTTCGTCTGGAAATTTTATATATTTCGTCCGGCTCCCGCACCACCGCCCATGGATGATAAAGATGAAGTTTAATCCGCGTTTCGGCTGTAGCCTTTAGATTTCCGAATATTCAAAACTGAAATAGGTCGACAGCGCACCGTTTGTATATCATACCATCAACTTTTAACACATAACCTTTTGACTCAAGGCAAAACTCTCCTTCACAGTCTAGTCGCGAGATATCTCACCTGGAACCCAAAACCCATCACAGTGTTATAAGGAATATAATAGAACTGCTCCTTAAAGTTGTTCGTGAAATAGTGTTGGAGCCAAACTTCTGTACCATTGCGTGGTGCGTTACGATACGTGACCAGAACGATAAATGTTAAATACAGGGCGTGCTCAACTGAAATTTTACAACAATTATCAAATCTTATAAATTAGAAGTTGACGATAACGAATAAGATAGTTTATTAAAATACTAGTTTAGTACTACAGTTTGTAAGAAGTTAGACAAGGTATAAACAACATTTTATTAAAATCAGTTCAGCCGTTCTGTAGGACCGCAAAAACACTGTGACAGGAGTATTTTATTTATAGACACAAACATCCCTAAACACTAATATGAACGTAAAGCCGGTTATCACCGGTCGGTTACCATAACTAAATTAGTGGCGGTAGTCACTAAAGCCCACCAACCCCACTGGAGCAGCATAGTGGGTCTTAGCACTTAAAGTCCTCTCATATGATAAGGGAAAAGATGAGATTTCTACGCGTTCCTGGCTAATTGTAAATCTTATTTGTAAAAAGCGGGCTAACTTTGCACTTACTAACGTATTTGTGAGGGGTCCGTACAATATCAGTAATAATCAATGTCATTAAACATAAAAATGTTTTAAAATATACAATTATATTTTAATAAAACACTTTAACGGTTTAAAACGCGATATATTAGTTAAACTTATTTGAAAATGATTTTTAACTTCGACCCGACGTTTCGGATGCTTTGCAGCAGCCGTGGTCACGGGGAGGTCAGTCGTTTTAAACCGTTAAAGTGTTTTATTTAAATGCGAACTACTCGCGTAAACTATAGACAGTATACAATTATATTATTATTTAGCCTTTATAAGTAACTAGCTGTGTCAGCGACTTCGTCCGCATAGAATAGTTATTTCGGGCCTTTATAAACATTATGTGTCGAAAACATTGTTTAGATCAGTTAAAGATAAAGAATTCCTTCATACATATTTTTCGGGTATCTTGTACAGTTTTCGCAGCGTAAACCTCGGTAACCCCATAATGATGAATAATTTTTCCATTTTCAGTTTTTCAGTTTTCGCAATTGCCGCTATTTCTGTGCTCCTAGCCACAGCGCGATATTTTATAGGCTTTAACCTACCTCGATAAATACTCTAACTAACATATAAATAATTTTTCAATTCGAACCAGTAATTCCTGAGATTAGCGCGTTCAAACAAGCAAACAAACTTTTAATAAAATCCAGTGTTTGCCATTGCTCAGATGCGAATTGAAGGCTACTTATGAATGCTAAATATAACGAGTACATGAACAAACAAACAAACTTACTTGCAGCACTAGCAATTAAAATCACCATACATTTGTGAATCAATTTTATAAAATTCTGAGGACCATTTATAGGCTTCAGTAACCGCTCATATTTCTGAATATCCTTTACAACTTTAGGCCAGGTGGTGCTAACTTTGAGGAAGAATATCGAGAAGAAGTACGCTGTCATGTGAGTTATCAAAGTTGCTGAAATAAAAATACCCGAGTAAATAAATTGTGTAAGGCTTTCACGGCCATCGTTCAGCATATCATTGTCTTTCGGGCTGTTCGGCCGACGTGAGCGAGAAGAAGAGGTTCTCGACGTGTCGCCATCACGTGCGGACGGCATCATCAGGACGTTAACTCCTCGATTGCTCGAAGATTTTCTTCAGCGAAATGTCGAGAGCCTCTTTTCGCTCATGTCGGCCGAACATCTCGAAAGACAATAATATAACATTTAAAATACAAGTAGTGTGCAAAAGGATGGCTGAACTTACGTTAAGTATTGTTTGTAGTTATGCATGTAGGATACACTTTTAACGGTTTAAAATGCGAGATATATTAGTTTAATCAATCTAGACCTAGCGTTTCGGATACTTGGCAGCAGTTGTCTACTCGAGATGCATTGTGCAATAAATATTCAATAGATACAATTAAAATTAATGATCTCGATACGGTGTGGTAAGAATATAGACATGCCGCCTTGTTCACGAACCATTGACCACAATCGTGTTTCGGCTTCAGTCTGTAAATTTCCGAATATCCAAAGAACATCGACAACGCACTTGGTTAGATCTGTGACAGAGGGATTTTTACCTTTCATGAGAGAAACTTCTTCAATCTTTTTACCATATGAACTTTAGCAACTTACCAGTCTGTTTAATTTTCGTCGGTCTTCTTGTAAAGTACACATAAGTGTGTAGACCTGCGTTCAAGGATTGAAATGTAATTGTCCAAACACAATATATTGCATATAACGATACCCAAGTACATCTAAAAAACAATAGTGTTTTAAATATTCCAAATATAAACTTTTAACGGTTTAAAACGCGAAATATATGAATTATCGTGGTTTTAGATACGACCCGACATTTCGAATGTTTTATAGCAACAATAACCCTATGTTTGTCTGTCCATCTGTATCATCAAAAAACATAACTCTTGGCAAAGATATATGAATGCGGAAAACCTGGATTGCTTCCCATTGTATTTCAATAGCCCGGAAACAGGAAATATTCCTGGAAATTTCATAGCGAAATACACGTGTCGCATACAAGCGTAGTAACTCATGTAGAAGAGATTTTGTACGCAATAGCCGTTTTATCAAAGGCGTAAAACACATCCGCACAATCATATATTTTACGAATGAATTTTGTGATTGAAGGCTAAACATTAAATAATCAAAAATCGACTGAATTTAATGGAACAACGTTGATAAACAGTTTTCATAAATTTTGGCGACTCTGTAAGCCGAGCCTTGTTTGATTTGATCAAATTGATGTGGTTAGGGTCTCGACACACTAGGTTTTAATGCGTAAAATATGCTAACTATTATATTTATTAGAGATGGACCGAGTAATCGCTTAGTACTCGGTACTCGTCGGGATTTTTAATACTCGGCCGAATAACTCGATTATACTTTGTTATTTGATAACGAAAAAACTTTGTTTAAGAAAAGCAAAATATAGAGGTAGATATAATCAGAGCTAATCCAAAAGTATTTATTAGCAATTTAGGAAATCTTTCAAATTTCAATTAATAAAATCAAAACTATGCTAATGAATGAGTAGTAAGGAGACAAAACTTCGAGAAAATGAGAGCAAGCCGACGTCTTGACCGGCGCGAACCTGTTTATACTTCTTTATGCGCGCAAAGTGAGGATTTGATCGAACCATGTTACTCGGCCGAGTCCTCGGTTGATAGAAACTTGAACCGAGTAAAACTAGGTACTCGTTACTCGTTAGGCCTGGGCAAGTCAGAGGACTGCCCTGGCCGGAGCATTCGGCGCGGATCTATCCCTGCCCGCCATTGTGGCAGGGATAGTTAGGAGCGCGGACGACGCTCCGTGGCAGGCCTTTAAGGCCTTCTGCGCCGACGTCCTCTCGCGAAAGGAGGAAGCGGAGAGGGCGAGGGAGATTGCTCCCGACGCCCCCGCACTCCGACGGAGGAGACTTGGGCGGCGCCGGCGCGATTACGCCCGGCGTCCGCCGTGACCTCGGTCTTAGGACCGAGCCAGGAGACATGGCCAACAACCGGCCACGTAGGGCGAGCCGCGCGCGGGAAACACGCGCGGCAGGACACACGGGCGCGGGCATGCGGGTCAAGGGCAACTAACCGCCCGCTCGCGTCCGGCAAGTCTCCCGTGGGCTCTTGGAGGTTTAGTGGGTAGTGGTCAAGCTGGCCGACCCCCACACTCCCCCCGCCACTTAAGTGGCCAGGCGGGGGCGTCGGTAAAGAGTCGATTCCTCCAAGTAAAAAAAAAAAAAAAAAGGTACTCGTTACTCGGCAAAAGTGTTACTCGGTGTATCTCTAATATTTATAGATACTGGATTTGTAACTATTTTTTACTGTATCAAACTCATTTCTAATAAATTGTCTATACGAATCTTATAAATTATTTTATGAATATTTTTTATTGTATTACTTTTTTTAAATTAAATACTGTCTATAGTTTACGCGAGTAGTACACATTTAAATAAAACACTTTAACGGTTTAAAGTGCGATATATTAGTTAAACTTATTTGAAAATGATTTTTAATTTCGGCCCGTTTTACTAATATATCGCGTTTTAAACCGTTAAAGTGTTCTATTTAAATGTGTACTACTCGCGTAAACAATTGACAGTAGGAAATAATTTATTTAAATGTGCGTTTTAACAGGTGTACCCCAACCTTTACAGCGATAACTTTGATATTTAAACATTCAACCAAATAAATAACGAAGTTGATGGATTGTTTATTTTGTTGGATCTGACAAGAACGTTTGGTTTAATTTTATAGCATTTATTTACATGTAAGTGTGTTTGTATAAGATTTGTATTTCCAGTATAGCAAAGAGAATAAGAAACTTTATCCACTAGAAAAAAAATCTAACGCAATTAAACGTTACGGCTTATTCACCGGTGGTTCGTGACTCGTGCGGTATTTGCTATCATTAACTCAACGGGCTCGTCAAGATCGCTTTTTTTTTCTAACGTTTACTTGAACTTAACCGATAATAAATCACATTAAACTGTTTAAAACGCTATAAACTGCTTTTCCATAGCCACAGCTGAAGTCACATTTTAAACAAGTAGCATGTGTTTCTTATTTCGTACTACTCGCGTTGAACTAATATTGTTGTTTAATTAATTTGGATTTATCTTCCTTTTATTTATATATTATAGCTGATTTTGATTCTATGCCTACAAACTATAAATTACAACGAGTATTTTACAATTTACTGCCCAATAACTTTATTCCATTATTACTATTGTTATTATGGAAAAACTATTTTATTGTTGTTGCCTCCTGTTCATACTTCGTAAGACTTTAAAATGTATTATTTTTATACAGCTCAAATACATTAAATGTAAATATTAACATATATATAGTTGTGTAAATGTAGAAAAAAGTTAAATCGTGCCCGAAGTTTACGCAGTACAAATTTTGAATAAAACACTTTGGTTAAAACGCGAAATGAAATAGTTAACTAATCTTTAATTAATTGCAATTGCTAAAACAAATAAAAAACGCGTTAACGAATATATTTCGCGTTTTAAATTGTTAAATGTGTACAGTTAAATATATCAAATATCGAACGTAATTGTCGTGAAGAGTTTTGAGATATTTCCTTGTGTAGGCGTATGGAGTAACACCAGGAACCCAAAAATATTTGCCTGGCGACATTCTAAAAACCCATCGAGACCACCCGTAGACCCTTGCCATGACGTGTGCCAGGATCTCCATCCTGATGACAGGGAACCTGTGTGCATGATCTTTAGTAGATATAAGCGGGGGTACCAATTCTTTGTCAACCTTTGCCATGCGAGACGAACTATGTGCAGGGAGAACATTGGTATGTTTTATGTATATATTTAAGTATTTTTATGGCCGTGGAAATATAGCCAATAGACAAAAGTTTCCTTTAGTCGTATATCTTCTTAATTTTTTAAACGGCTGGACGGTCGTAATTAAAAACGAAAACAAATTTAAATTATATTATATAAAAGTACATAAAATATAATTTGTATAATTATTTCTTAAGTAGTTTTAAACAAAACGGCCAGCATAAAGCATCATTGGCTTTTCTTTATAAATTGTTTTTCATAAATTTAAAAAAACGTCTTAATTAGCTCAGGATAAAAACAGCAGCCTTTAAGCCTATTATAAGTAACCACGTTATTGCGGACATAATAAAGAGTCTGCTTATAGATTGTATATTGAATATAATATCCGTTTCGATATCTCCCAGCGAATATCTTTCATACAATGCACATATCTATCGTCACAAACCTTGTTTATTTTTAAAGGGATAAAATAATTAATCATGCTAAGTAAGCGATAAGATATTTGTCTTCTTTGTTTCAGTGCTACATATGGTTCATTCAAGTAGATGCATAAAAAGCAATCAATTTTATATGCCTATTAATTAATTTGTTTTAATTGTTGTGATATAAATTTTATTGATGTTGTTATTTACAAATTCTTTGATTTTAATAAATATGTTTAATTTAATACTGGTACGTGGTACATATACCCAAAATTCAACTCGAATTTCGTACGTCAATTTCAACACAAAATATCGCAAACAATTTTTCGATCAAATCAACTGGTTTTTACTACCGATCGCTTTGCGATTTCACGGTTTACATTTGAATGCTGTTTTGCTTTAAGATATTATAGAGAAACTTTTCACAAAATGGCTGTTACTTCTCCGTCCAGGTTTGCGTTAAAAACGAGACTTCTCGAGTTCAAAACACGCAGAAACTAAGAAAGACTGTCCTATTCGGGACCGGCACAAGCATATTTACAAAATATTACCATACTATATAATTTTAAAATCGAAAATAAATTGAAAAATTTTTCGACTCGGGCAGGACTTGAACCGGCATCGTCAGCGTTCCGTGCTATTGCTCTGAACGCTGACGATGCCGGTTCAATTTTTAAATTATATAGTGCCTTTATGTGCAATAACATGTAAAAAATATT